TGAATCCTATACTACACCCAAGTATAATTAATAGTAAAATTCAAGAAATGAAAACTGAAAAATGAAATATTCCTATACTACATCCAAGTATAATTAATACTAAAATTCAAGAAATGAAAACTAAAAAATGAAAAATATATATATATATATATATATATATATATAAAAGAAAGGTATATAGTTGGGGAAAAAAAATGTCATGAATAAAATATAAAATCCAAATAAAATGAAAGTTTCAATTAGTTCTCACCTAGAAATCAAATCTATATGAAATTTCAAAATTTATTCTTAATTATGAAAACAAAATGAAACTTAACGTTCAATTACTCGGATTCTCACTTATAAATCCAGAAATGAGGTAAGAAGCAATAATTCCTATTTCATTCAAAGTCTCCAATTAAACAAAATCTTAAACCTATCCAAGTAAAAACAATCACGCACTTTTAAGCACAATTCTTGAACTCCACTAAAAATGTCCCAAGCAAATTTCCAATTGAAAAAAAAAAGGATCAAATTCAACCATTCCACGAGTAGTGATTCCCATTCCTTAGAGGGAATGCCAACAATTAACATCGAATAGGTTGAAGAAAATAGAGAAAATGTTATTGAAAAGCAAAGAAGCAAAAAGGAAACTAGTATCGGGTTAGTTTTTATGGCCAAATAGAGGGTTTAATGTACTAATATTGTTCTTGTAAAAGGTTCAATATAACGAAATTCAAAAAGTAGAGGGACGAAAGGTTATTAATTTTTAGTTAAAAAAATTATTACTCTAGCTTAGTTTTTGAAGCTATATCTATAATGGGATGAACACAATCCAAAAGCTTTAGATTTGTGACTAAAAGAAAATCCATCTGCATGACCCATAGATATTGAATGACCTCAATTAAAAGTCAAAGTATGTGCAAGCCCCCTTGCACCCCGCCTTTAGTAATCCCATGTATGCATCGGTAATGTATAAATCACCGTGTGCTTTGTCAAAGCATAAACATAACGGATGCTCGCGGATGTGCTCCGTCTAACGGTGATCATGTGACCCTCGACAACCGTCCTCGTGGATATTGTCAATCTTGACATGTTAATATTAGTTCATGCAAAAATCCCATTAACATAATAAATTAAATATTCCATTTGATTTAAACTAAGTTATCATTCTATTCTTTCCTTTCTTTTTTTGTGTTTTTTAGTTTCGCAATAAACGCAAGTGGGTTTTATAGATAATTTCTCTTCCCTTTATCAAGAGTGGGTTTTCGATTGGAGAAGGAAAAGAAGGAAAGGAAGAGAAAAAAAGAAAAGAAGAGGGAGAGCATGGATGAACTAGATCCGGTTCGTCCATGGCAGTTTCGGGAGAAGTGAGAAAGCGAAGAAGAGAAAAAAAGGGAAGAGAGAGAAAGGATTCGACAAAGAGGAGGAAGAAGAAGAAGAAGAAAAGGGAGGGAAAAAAAGAGTAAGGAAAAGGAAGAGAGAGATGGTTGATTCGTCCATGGTGAGAGAGAGAATGATAGAAGATGGAGGCTTTTAAAGATTAGGACAAAATGAATTTATATACAATGTGATTTAATGCATGAGATTGTTAGGTTTTTTAGATGGATGGTTGAGATCAAAAGAAAGTAATATTCGATTGGAAGTTCATGGGTAATTAATTTAGATTGAATGGTTGAAACAAAAAATTTATAAAATAATTGATTTTGTACAATAATTTAGCAAAGATTCAAATAAAGAAAAATGTGAAAAAAATATTAGTGATAAGCATACTACAATTGAGTCTAGGTGACCAGTACTTGAATAGTTACAGTTCTTTTAGTTTTGTTTAGTAATACTAATAATATGATAGAAATTGATACCTCTTTTATTGTATAATCTAAAGCCCACCCATCTTCTCATATTTATATATAATAATAATTATTATAATAATAACTCGTCGAATGGGGTCAAGGTGAAGCCAGAGCACACCGTTGTAGTGGAAATAGCAAAAAAAGGAGTGGGCAAGAAAAAGCAAAAGGAAAGAAGGCTGCTGCGATATCACACTCCCTTTTGCCTTCCTTCTCTCCAACTTTCCTCTCTTTCATCCTTCTAGGGATTGAAGGGTAAGCAGCCAAAACCAGCCATACTCACACACACAATCCAATCTAATCCGCCATGGATTGATCGTTTCGCTGCTCAATTCCCACTTATTTTTACTCAGGCAAGTCACTATTTCAACTTGTATTCTCTCATTTCTTTAGATTGTTGCTATTATTTCTAGATCGCCTTTGTTTTTTTGCTCCAAAATTAGCTCCAGTTAGCTTGAATTTCTCCAATTTCTACCTTTGCATCTTAGATGTGCTTATTGGCTAGTAATACTTGGTAAATGTTTCCCCTCGAAAAATATAGAACTGTTACTCAATCATGGGTTTATTGAGTTCTAGATTTGCAGTTTTGTTTATTTTCTGTTGTATTTCGCTGTTTCTGATGTTTAGCTTTGTTTCTTCAGGTTTCCAATCATCTTGTTACTCTTAAGTTTGCGCGATCTCTTACTTGTCTGTTAATTTAAGCTTAATTTCAGCTTGCAAAATCAACGGTGAGCCATTGTGTGTTAATTCAGATTCTAACTTCCCAAGCGTTCCTCTGTGATGATATTTTGGAATTGTTTTGTTTTGAGTTGGTGTTTGCTTTCACTTATTGTTACTATATTGGGTTTCAAGTTTGAAAATTTTTTGGAGGTTTAATTATCCATGCTGTTTAGGATTTCGAGATACCTGGTGAGTCTGTGTGTGACTACCGAGGTGATAAACTTGAGTTCAAGCAAAACCATTACAAGATACTGGTTTGAAACATATTCTTAATTCAATTTGGATATAGGTAGTTTGAGAATTGTAGGACCTTTACTGTTTGTGCTAGACCATTACAAGTTACTGGATCTTCGTGTCCTTAGTCAATTCTGGTTAGGAGGAGAAGCGTATTAAGAGATTGTAATGCTTTTTGCCTGTTGTTATTTTAGGATACATAAATTACTTGCTGTTTCTTGCTGAACCTAGACTGGCCTGTAATTATATATACACTGTGTTAAAAAGTAACATAAAAATATAGGCACAATATTCTGATCATTTCCAAAGAAGCTTTTTGCGGGGTGGTGGTTCGTTTGTTTTCATTTGGATTCATAGTATCTAACAAAATTGATACTGAGTTAGCATGGTGGATTCCTCTATGTATTTTGGGTTTTTCTTATTCAATAAATTCCTTTTAGTTCAACGAGGATAAGAAAAGAGGTTTAGTAGAGTGCCTTAGGTGATTGCATTTACTATCTTGGTGCTTTAATGATTTTACATTGTTAGGTTGAAATGAGTTTATGATACTTTTGGAAAGCTATTGTTTTAGTTTGTAGGCCTGTTCTGCACAATTCCTACAATCTGAAAGTCAAATTAGATTGTAATGCCTTTTGCCTGTCGTTATTTTAGGATACATAAATTACTTGCTGTTTCTTGCTGAACCTAGACTGGCCTGTAATTATATATACACTGTGTTAAAAAGTAACATAAAAATATAGGCACAATATTCTGATCATTTCCAAAGAAGCTTTTTGCGGGGTGGTGGTTCGTTTGTTTTCATTTGGATTCATAGTATCTAACAAAATTGATACTGAGTTAGCATGGTGGATTCCTCTATGTATTTTGGGTTTTTCTTATTCAATAAATTCCTTTTAGTTCAACGAGGATAAGAAAAGAGGTTTAGTAAAGTGCCTTAGGTGATTGCATTTACTATCTTGGTGCTTTAATGATTTTACATTGTTAGGTTGAAATGAGTTTATGATACACAATCTGAAAGTCAAATTAGATTGTAATGCCTTTTGCCTGTCGTTATTTTAGGATACATAAATTACTTGCTGTTTCTTGCTGAACCTAGACTGGCCTGTAATTATATATACACTGTGTTAAAAAGTGACATAAAAATATAGGCACAATAGTCTGATCATTTCCAAAGAAGCTTTTTGCAGGGTGGTGGTTCGTTTGTTTTCATTTGGATTCATAGTATCTAACAAAATTGATACTGAGTTAGCATGGTGGATTCCTCTATGTATTTTGGGTTTGTCTTATTCAATAAATTCCTTGTAGTTCAACGAGGATAAGAAAAGAGGTTTAGTAGAGTGCCTTAGGTGATTGCATTTACTATCTTGGTGCTTTAATGATTTTACATTGTTAGTTTGAAATGAGTTTATGATACTTTTGGAAAGCTATTGTTTTAGTTTGTAGGCCTGTTCTGCACAATTCCTACAATCTGAAAGTCAAATTAGTATTTGTTAAGTTCTTGGATAGAGTTTCTTCACCTGTTAGATTTTTACCCTGGCTAGGCTTTTGGAGGATCAAGATTGTCTATTTCTATTCCCAACCACATGTCCTCTAATGATTTTCATGCTGCCATACTTTCGTTCCTGGGCCAATTAAAATGTATTTTAAAAAAAAAAAAGATAACAGAAGAAAAAACACCTTTTGACAACAACTATATGTTCCACTTGAGTCTGGTTCTTCTCTAGTGCATCAGAAGCCTTGGTTGGAATGCTGTATTTACCTTATTCTCCGTTTTTAGTTCATGAGATTGTCTTGAGTTCCTGAGTGGGAACTGTTTTATTCCAAATCAGTTGTGTAAGGGGGACTTACATATCACAACTATGGATATATACACTGATCTGACATGTATTAAACCAACCTGCAAGCCAATGTGTTGGCATTGATTGTGTATGGAGGATAGTTCTGATGCCAGTATCCTGTTTATAGCGGTTCTTGAATTTTGCTATAGTTTTTGTTATTTATGTTGTTATATTTCAGTTTATTATTTCCTTGTACTTCGACTGGTTCTTCCTTCAGGCGTCACATTGCTGTGTTCTATGTACCAGTAACCCATCTGCATCATCAAATGTGCATGATACTTGTCAGTAATATGTATATTTTTTTCTGAAAAAATTTATCATACATAACCTTCCTTTTGTTTTGTAATATCATTTCTCTCATTTTCCTCAGCTTTTTGCTATGGAAGATACTGAATCGGTTGCAACACTCATGGACTCTACAACGTCTAAGATACAGCAACTTCAGAAAGCATTTGCTGAACTTGAAAGTCACCGGGCTGTAACACTCAACTTGAAATGGAAAGAACTTGAGGAACATTTCCATGGGCTTGAGAGATCCTTGAAGAGGCGGTTTCATGAGTTGGAAGATCAAGAAAAGCAGTACGAAAGCAAAACTAGGAGAGCCAGGGAAATATTAGAGAAGCGGGAAGCTGCTGTTGTGGCCAAGGAACAAGCTTCATTGGAGAAGCTCCAAGAGCAACGAGATTCTGCTGTCTTTGCCATTTCGAATGCTCTACAGAAGCACAGGAAGGTATCATCTGCGGTAGCTGCTGTTGTGCCCCATGATGGCCAATTTGAATCACCAACTATTGATGACCAACCTCCTGATGCCATGACTGCTGAAAGTAACTTAGGAGAAATAATAGATCCTTCTGAAAATGGAAATTTGGAGTACCCACAGTTGGTCAAACTATGTGAAAAGATGGACTCAGAAGGACTGCACAAATTTATATCTGACAACCGTAAGAACCTTGCAGTCCTAAAAGAGGAAATTCCACTTGCTTTAAAGGCTGCAGCAAACCCAGCGCAATTGGTGTTGAACTCTCTGGAAGATTTCTACCCCAAGGAAATGTCAAATGTTGATGGAAAGAAAGATTCCACCTTACTGGGTGTCCGCCGAACCTGTATCATGTTGATGGAATGCCTTAGCATTTTGCTAATGTATGCAGATCTAGTTTCTGTATCTGACATAATTTCAGAAGATGTTAAATATCAGGCAAAGACAATTGCTGAAGAGTGGAAGCCAAAATTGGATTCTTTGGATGTGGATGCTAACAATGGGAACTCCTTGGAGGCACATGCCTTTTTGCAACTTCTAGCCACCTTTGGGATTGCTTCTGATTTTGACGAGGAAGAGTTATCCAGGCTAATCCCAATGGTTTCTCGTCGTCGCCAAGCAGCTGAGCTATGTCGCTTTCTTGGGCTGTCAGAGAAAATGCCAGGTTTGTTGAAATCCTGTTGCACCTTAATCATCGTAGCAGGAAGCATATCATTGCTTAAGTTAAAAAATGTAGACAATGAACAGAAATTATGTGGCACATTGTGTTAAAAACCATATTACTGAAGACTATATGGAATCTTCCCTTAGAATGAAAATATGGAACTTTTGTGTTAGATTAGGATCATGATAATTCAATGACTTCATTTTGGTGTTTATCGAACTAAGCATGTAAATTTTCCCTTTTCTGGATTCTTGTTTGAAGCAACAGTGCATAAATCTTGTTGGCTTTTGCTCAATTGGTTAAGCTCATACCTTGGACAAATGAATTTGGTGCAAACTGCAAAGAGTGTAGAAGCTATTTGTTTCCTTTATTTTGTCAATCTTGCTACTACTTATTTCCCATTGTTTTTCTTTTTCATTTTTACCGTTTCTACATGGATTCTTCAGGTGTAATTGAAGTACTGGTAAATAGCGGAAGGCAAATTGATGCAGTTAACTTGGCCTTTGCTTTTAACTTAACGGAACAGTTCTCACCTGTACCTCTACTGAAATCATACTTGAAGGAGGCGAGAAAAGTTTCTTCATCAGTCAAGCCTGGAAATGCATCTCCCACCACTGTGCAGGTGAGTGTCCTTACTCAGCTACATTAATCAAATTGTCCTTTCCTTTCTATCATTATCTCTTGACAATGATGTCGCGCTGTTGTGTAATCTGAAGTAATTGTTGTTTGATAATTCCAACTTTTAGCTGTGATTGGTATCGATTGCTAACGCTAATGCCGTTTCCCACCCAAATGAATTACAAAGAATCTGATGCGTATTATACATAAAAGTGGGCTATCTAGTTGGATGCCAGAGAAGGGTAGATAGATGATACCGTATTGCATATATGTTCAATAACAATTTACATTGAAATCTTATCTTAACTTTTGATGTAAAGCCACATTCATGCAACATCCCTTCTGGAAACTTCTGAGCATCTTTTAAGAAATTTTCTATTGCTTCAGAATGAGGTCAATGAACGAGAGCTGACTGCCCTTAAGGCTGTGATGAAGTGCATTGAAGAGCATAAACTTGAGGAGCATTATCCTGTGGATCCACTCCAAAAACGCCTTCTTCAGCTGGAGAAGGCCAAGGCAGACAAGAAAAGGGCAACTGAAGCTGCCAAGCCTCAACCCAAGAGACCACGTGCCAGTGGTGTCGGATGTGGGCCCCGTGTCACTATCGCTGCTCCTGACAAGACTTTCTATCCTAGAGTACCTGATAGGTACCCACAGTATGTGTATGATAGACCATACATTTACCCTGGACCTGCTGACAACCATGTTCCCCCACATATGAGTTCTGCTCCTTACAACTTCTCTCCCAGTCATGGCAACTACTTTGGAAATGGCTACCAGTATCAGACCCCGTATCTTCACTAGTTAGTAAAGATGGCGAAAAGGTGACCTTGATCCTCATTTTAACTGCTAGCCTTAACCCTTCAGTTCGTTGATGTTGTATGAATGAATTTAGTATCTAAAAAAACCCAAAAAAAAAAAAAAAAAAAACAACTGCTCTGTTAATTTTTAATCTACTGTACAAGAGATAATTTGATCCTCTAATATATGCACTCTGTTTTCTGTGTAATAAATGCTTTCTATTTTTTGTTTTGCTCCCCCCTCGTTAGTTGCGTTCGAACTTTAGAACTAGAATTGACACAATAATTAAAAGTCACTGCTGTTGCTCAATTTGGATCAGATATTGATTTGTTTATGAAAATCTTCATTTGAGCACAGCAATTTGGGGACCATGACTCTGGTGTTAAAGAAGTGAAGCAATCTGGGAGGTAAATGAGCCCTCTCATGCTAAAACCGTTCAACCACATGAAGTTGAAAACCATGTGCGAAGTGATGTTATTGTCGTAACACATAGTCATGCTGTTTTACATTCCTTAAGGAATTGTGAGGAGGATAAATGGGTTAGAAATAAAGAAAGAGCGATGAGCTCCGTCCCCTTTTTTATCCGCTTGAAGGAAGCAAGCAGCAAAACCACCTCTTGCTACTGCCAGCTAATATCGTGAATGGCAAAGACCATGCTATTGCTTTCGTTCCTACTTAGAGGCAGGCAGCATTCAGTCCGAAAAAATCGAAATAGATTGGAACAGAAATACAGGTAAGCAGTATTCAATTCGAATCGGAACCGAAATCCCAATTCCTGCATGTTGCCCGAAATACATTCGCAGAAGGCTAATGCGAGCCCAATTGTATACAGTTGGGCCTTATTAGCAAGCACGCTTCCCTCTCTCTTTTTTCCCTCCAAAACGTTTTCGCTCCTTCAAATTCAAAATTAATTACAGATTTTCTCCCTCCCTCTCTTAATGAAAATCATGGAGATCTTCTCGCCGGTTCCCCGGAAGCCAAACCAAGACAGCCAATCTGCTCAGTCCAATCACCTCCACCAGCAACTCCTCTCTCAGATTGAATCTCTGATCACACAAGCCGAAAACCTTTCTGCTAACTGCCATTCCTTACCAGAAACAATCTCCACAGATCTCCGCCAAACCCTAACTCACCTCACTCAACTCCTTCCTTTCCCTAACTCACTCAAGCTCCAAATCTGGAAGAACGCCTACCGCCTTTGGAATGCCTGCATCGACATCTCCAACGCCGCTTCCATCCGCCCTTCCTCCTCCTCATCCATTGTCGATGACCACGCCAAGCTCCGTCACATCGCCGCCGATATGCTTTCCGTCGCTGGAGACGCCACCGGCGTTCCCTCTCCTGCCATCAAATCCGCCTCTTTCTACCTCAAGACCGGCCGCATCTGGCATGATCTGAGAAAATTTGATCTCGCTTCCTCCTGCTTCGAGAGAGCCACCGATATCGTTTCAAAGCTCGATATCGCCACACTATCTGACACCGGAGAGAGAAAACTGCTGTTAGAACTAAATCTAGCTAGATCTCGGACTGCCTGGGAGATATCGGATCGAAATCTCGCGATAACACTGTTAAATCGGGCCAAAACTCTCCTGTTCGGGTCATCAGATCACTACAAACAGCTGGCCAATCAATACTTGATATTTGGAAAGAGCGTGTTATCAAAAAACAACGATACCGTTAGCAGTTTAAATGAAGCGTTGAAGCTAATGAACGAATCTCTGGATTTAGGTGAGAAAGGATCCAGCGCAGCGAGAACACGAGAACAAATCATGGAACTCAAGGAGTTACGATCGAAATCACTCCGGTTCATCTCGGCCGTTCATTTACAAAAAGGAGAGTACGAGAGTGTGATTAAATGCGTTAAGGTATTGAGAGAGGGAGATTGCAGTGGTGTTGGTGGGGACCAACATGCTAGTCTCCCTGTTTTGGCAATGAAGGCTTGGTTGGGGTTGGGGAGGTACGGAGAGGCAGAGAAGGAGCTGAGGGGCATGGTTGTAAATAAGGGAATTCCTGAGAGTGTGTGGGTTTCGGCAGTGGAGGCGTACTTTGAGGCTGCGGGGACTGCAGGGGCAGAGACGGTGAAGGGATTGTTTTTGGGACTTTTAGGAAGGTGCCATGTGAGTGCCAGAGCTGCAGTCAGGGTGGCGAATAGAGTGGTTGGGTGTGGTGGTGGTGGTGGAGAAGGGTCGATAGTAAGGACTAAAGTGTTGGCAGAGTTGGTGTCTGATGAGAGAGTGGTGGCGCTTTTTGCTAGCGAGGCGGCTGCTAAGGAGAGGAAGGCTATGCATGCTGTTCTTTGGAACTGGTGAGTTTTAAAAGAATTTTCCGCCAAAATTGCGTCTGCTTTGATTAAAGAGTTGTTTATGTTCTTTTTTTCATTTTTCTTTGTATTGCATTTTATGAACTCTGGAATTTTGGTTTCTTTATCTGAGTTTGTGATTTCTGTGACTGGGAAGCATGAAAAATGATGGCTTACATCCATTGTTTTGGTATTGTATTGATCAAGGTCTGTGTTACTTAAGCTTGTTGATTACTGGCTAGGGATTATCAAATTTTTGAATAGGAAGAAGCCCATAAGGTTTCCCCAAAACTACTTATTTCTTGGGATTACTTAATAGAATAAGGAAAAGAAAAGAAAAAAGAAGAAACAGAAAAGGACACTTGAATCCCTATAATTTCTTAGTTGTTCCTTAAAAAAGCTCTTCGAATTGCTTACAAAGCAAATGTGGTTTCCAGGAGAAAATAAGTTGTTTACCAAGTATGGAAGTGATGGCATGTAGGATTGAATCCTGTGTTCTGTGGAGTGAAATAGTACTCTATATTTGGATACGCCCAAGAAACTGGGATATAATATGATTCATGGTCTTGCGCCCTGGGATGCTACTCCAGCTGAGTGGATCATTGTTGGGTGACCTTCATAATCTGTTGTATTGATTGGTGCCACGTAAGTCGTTTCTGAAGTCCTCTGCGGTAAACCCTGCCTACCTTACAGTTCCTTTCACTGATTTAATATCCTGTCTCACAAAAAGCAATTCATGTGTCAACCTTCATTTGCTGCAAACTAACTGTGTCTTCCTAATTGATTCTTTATATTGGATTTGTTTCATTAAGATTTCGTCTTGCCACTGGAATTTAACAGGTAAATCAAAGGAAAGGAAATGTTTTTTTGTATTCAAAATCTTTTAAAAGGAAGAGTTTCATTAGTCAGGGAGACAAAAGCCTAGCATTTTGGAAACTGGTATTCATTGAAAAGAAATTCCTTGTCAAATCTGTTCCTTTACCCACTCCCTGTTTGTTTTTGCAGTGCTTCAGAACATTTTAGATCAAAAGATTATGAGACAAGTGCAGTGATATTTGAGAAATCACTGCTTTATATACCACATGACATAGAGAACAGAATTCTCCGAGCTAAGGGCTTCAGAGTTTTGTGTCTATGCCATCTTGGCCTCTCTCAACTTGATCGAGCCCAAGAATACATTAACGAGGCTGAAAAGGTATGTTAATCAACTGCAAGCTGGAGTATTTTAAAATTTCTTGGTGTTTCGGTACAAGAACTAGCTAAGCATAAGAGATCTTATTACCTTTAAAAAAGCTAAGCCGGCATTTTTTGGGATTCTTTCCATTTGTGCAGCTTGAACCCAACATAGCATGTGCTTTTCTTAAGGTACCCTCTCTCTCTCTCTCTCTCTCACACACACACACACACACACACACGCGAACACAAACACACACATATGCACATTGCATTTAACATACCGATTCCTGAAATTTGTTCCTGTTGAATCAACACAAACCTTTATTTCATCTGCACAATACCTGGGACTCCCTAAAATTATTTTATTGATGGTTACCACCGTCTTGATATTTCTTCACGCTCGTGCAGTTCAAAATCTGTCTGCAAAACAACGACCATAATGGTGCTATTAATCAGGTCCAGGCAATGAAAACTTGCTTTGATTTCACTCCAGACTTTCTCTCCCTGTCAGCTCATGAAGCTGTTGCTTGCCGTGCTCTTCCTGTTGCTATTTCCTCTCTATCCAGTCTCCTGAACTTCTACACCTCGGGAAGACCCATGCCAACAACAGAAGTTATAGTGCTACGCACATTGATCACAATCCTCATTCAAGACCCTGGAAACGAGCTAGAAGTCCTCGAATTCATGAAAAGGGCTCATGACCGAGCATCTGAACTTGGAACAGGGTGCTTTTTTGGAAAAGAAGAGGCTGGCAGACGAGAAAAAAATTGGTTTGCTGTGACTTCGTGGAACATTGGGACTAAATGTGGGAAGGAGAAGAAATATGAATTATGTGCAGAATTTTTGAGACTGGTATCAGGATTTTATGGTGGTCTGGTTGATTGTCAAGACGAAGAAAACAGAGTTATGGTCTGCAAGTCATTGATATTGTCTGTCTCAGCCATGGTGGCTTCAGAGAATCAAAGGAAGACTGCATTGACGGAATCTGAAGCGAAACAAGCTGTTGAACTGCTAGACAAAGCAGATAAGGTATGCCCTATGAGTTGTTTTCTTGCTTATAATGTCAAGTTGAAAAAACAGATCGGCTTGCTTGTTGGAAATGGCAGAAGCCTGGAATTTTCATCTTCTTGTTGATATCCTTCACCCCCATTTATTGATGTTTTGATGCATGGATGCAGATCCTAACTTCAATCTCAGCAGGAACTCAACTAGGTGGTGACGAAATTACCACCGTTGAGCCAGACCTCATCTTCATGTACACCTTCAATGCCTATGATATATATGGTAGACTTGATAATTTTGGGCCCCATAAACAGCTCCACCTTGTAAAGAGTTTGGCCAGCTTGAAGGCTTGCAATCCCAAGTACCTTCTTCAAATTGGTCTTAGCGCCTCCCAGGGTCCACGGTCTAACCCTGAAGTAGCCAGCTTTGCTCTAAACGAGTGCCTTTCAGCTCTCCTTTCTTCCTCACCGGACTATCAGGATGTTGCTCTTATAGTTCGAAGACTGATTACATTAGCAAGCATTCACAAAGGTGATTCAGATGATGATGCCGTGCATAAGCTGTACAAGCAAGCTTATCGGATAATGGTTGGGTTAAAGGAAGGTGAGTATCCCACCGAGGAAGGAAAATGGCTTGCAATGACTGCATGGAATCGGGCAGCAGTGCCAGTGAGGCTGGGGCAAGTTGATGCGGCTCGGAAGTGGATGGATGCTGGGTTGGAGCTTGCAAGGAAGGTTTCAGGGATGGACACTTACAGGGCCTGCATGGAGGATTTTGTTACTGCTTTTAATAAGAAATTTCTTTCGCACAATGATGGTTAAAGTCAGTCTCAGCTATTCGTATCTTATATATATATATATATGCATCTTGTACAGACTATACATGAACAATTTTAATGAGAAATTTAATCTGCACAGAATTTTTTTTTTTTTTTTTCCCTTAATTTTCTTTTTGTTGCCGGTGGTTTGTGTGCACTCTTGACTCGAACCCAGCTTCAGCCCAGTCCATGCACCACTACCCATTTCAGAAGTCATGAGTCATAAGTCATAACCACTAGTCCTCTATCCTTGTGGCCCAACCCATTGGAATAGCTTCTCCTTATCTCATCTATATTCCTCTGTTCTCTCTCTCTCTCCCTCTCATGGTCATCATGGAGTCTTTCTCCATTTTACTATCTTCTTCTCCACCCATCCAAAACCACCCGAGAACCCTGAAATCCAATACCTGTAAACCCAATTCTCATCAAACCAGTTTTCCTTTCTCCAAAAAATCTTCTCTCCAAAATCCTCTCTCGCTTCTCAAAAACCCTCTCTCAAATAAAACCACTCTTTCTTTCACTACCATTCAGCTCTACACTTCTCTTCCTAGCCTAGCTTCTGAAACTCTAACCTCCCAAACTGAGCAAGTTTCAGACAAAATAAACTTGGAATCGATCTTGGTCTCAATTGATGACTTCTTGAACAGAAACCCATTTTTTGTAGCTGGCTGTACATTCATTTGGCTTATTGTTATACCTCTAACTGAAGAGTACTTGAGAAAGTATAAGTTTATCTCTGCCATTGATGCATTTAGGAAACTCCGGGATAACCCGGATGCGCAGCTTTTGGATATTCGGGACAGGAGGAGCGTCGTCGCTTTGAGGTCTCCCAGTTTGAAGATGTTCAATAAGAGTGTGGTTCAGGTTGAGTTCTCTGAGGGAGATGAAGATGGGTTTTTGAAGAATGTTTTGGAGAATTTTCAAGACCCAGCAAATACCACCTTGTGTATTTTGGACAAGTAAGTGATATGCCTATAATCAATACTCTACTTCTTAACTTGAATGTTCTGCTTTTTGTAGGAAGCTTTAAATACTGCTTACTTCTTTATTTTTCTATCATCCTGAATATGAAGTGAATTATATAGTGAAGCACTAGAGTGTCTGATTTAGACTGTCCCTTTCGCATAAAGTATGTCTTTAATGTGTCAATTGTTTCTGCTTCTTGCGTGTAAGGTAGTTTTGATGGTGATTCAGTGAGAGTGGCTGAGTTGCTGTTCAAGAACGGATTTAAAGAGGCATACGCAATTAGGGGCGGAGTCAGGGGCAAAAAAGGCTGGTTGGTATGGTTCTTTTGCTATTTTCTACTCTAGGATTTTCTTATATTTTAGCAATGAGTGCTTACATCTTAGTTTCTGTTCACAGAGCTCTGTTTTTATGTAAATTTAGACGACTTTAGATCTGTTGTTTTTTAACCCGTTATTATAGATTTATTGTAGCAAATGAAAAAATAGCTAGGATTAACATGCATCCACATGGCATGGACAAGCTTTCAACTCTTTGAGACAGCATTCAGAAAATACCGAAGATACATGGGTTTTGTTGATCGAATTTGTTGCATCAATTTCCACCCATAATAGTAGTTTGTGAGCATGAAAAAGAAACAACTATCATTTTGCTGAGGATTTATGGTCCGGCCAATAATCTGTTGTTTGAATTTTACATGCTATATGTTGGAATCCTACCTGGAAATCTGGAAAGCCACAAAAAATGCTGCCTCTGTGAGGTGAACAAAAGAGGTTTGACACTTGAAAGGGAGGAATTTTATCACATAAACTAGGCATATAGGTTTGACAAATCTGTCTTTTGGTAAAATTTTGTCGGCAATCCTGAAAGCTGCTTCCAGTTTATTGTTCACCTCAGAGTGAAGCCTCAAAGATTTTTCATTTGATTCATTGCACAAAGGTATATAGTGTGCGTACTAAGGCCTTTTTTTTCTTTGTATGAGCACATGCGTGTGTTTGGTTTGCACATGGATTTCCTTAGTTAACTTTCATTTAACTCGTAAATGTTTCGTTCTTATTTATGTGGAAGAAGAAGAGGAGAATGTTGGAGAAATCTGCCTTTGGCAATTGCATATTCTTTTATTGATAGATTTGTGTTGGTTTATATAGGATATACAGGAAACCCTTTTGCCACCTCCTGTACATATGAAGCCTAAGAAGAAGAAGAAGAAGAAGAAGAAGGCTAAAACTTCACAACTTGGAGTTAATGGAGGAGTTGCTCAGCAAAATGATGGTGAGGATGGCATACCCTCTTCTACTAATCTCCCTCTGGAAGAAAGCCAAAGTGTGGACAATGGGCATGTAAACAAGCCTATGAAATCCATACCTCATCTGGAAATTGATTTCAGATCTCCTTACCCTAATGTAAGACTCTGTCTCCCTCTCTTCCCCCTCACCCACACACTTGCAAACACATATGGATATCGATTTCAGGTTATCTAACTCTAATTTTTGACTGCATGACGGCATGAGATGAGCACCATAACCAATTTGAAGTGAAAAATTAGCATCTGTAAATGGTGATGTTCTAGCTGTAGTTCCTAGTCTTGGTTTTCACACTAATCCTAGTATCCAAACAGATTATTTGGTAGTATCAGACAAATTAAGAGGGCATCCTTACACAAATACGATCTTATATAACACCAGTAAGCAAATGTGTCTAAATAAGGTGTTTCCTTTTCATAGTTCTAAATAAGTAGTACTTCGAGGCAAATAGAGTACACTAGGAAAACTGCAATCCATGCTGCACTCCAGTTTGATCACATTTTGAACATCGTGAGGTGTATTTAAATCTCATGAGTTCTGATGGTGGTGACCATTATCCAAAGTGACAATTGGCAATTGCTTGTCAACAAAAAGGTAAAAATAAACAGATGGTAAATGCCTACAAATGTTGTTAAGAAGCAGTCTAACCTTTGCGTTCAGAAAGCATGACGAGCCACTAATATTTCCTTTTTCAAATCTTTTATGCAGTACCCAGATTTAAAACCTCCATCTTCCCCAACACCGTCAAAGCCATGACAAGATCGATGCAACAAGTTTGTTGCTTTGAACTGGCTCCTCCTTTTAAGCTGAAGCTCATTCTCGATCAACAAGGACAACTCTTTGTTTCCGGTATTGTTAATAATGTATTTGTTCTTTTTTTTTTTTCCTCAATTTTGGCAACAATTGATTCTGTACCCTCTTATAGAAGGTATCATCTTTCCCTCTGAGTGGCAAGTCAAAAAGATTCTCTGTAATTAACTGCATAAGGTGTAAACAACCTTTGATTATGCATACTCCATTGTCTAGCACCAAGACATCTCATCACTTTGATACTGCCTGTCATTTGGATACAACAATGCGATTTGATTCCGAGCTCCCTTTTTCCCATGTTAGTGTCTTCTGCTGTCCCTTGTACCAAATGGATCCTTACTTCATAAGAGTGGGAGCTTGAGCCACTTTCACCTCAACTACTCCCTCAGTATCCTTTCATCGGAGTAAATTATAAATTAGTCCTTCTATTTTTAAGAAATAAATTAATGTCTTTTTTATTTGAAAGATTAATTATTTAATTTTTTTATTAATGTTGTCCATATTTAATTTAATATTATTTTATTTTAAAAAATATCATTTTTTTCATTTTTTTTGTTTTTATCTCTTAAAATAAAAAATTAAAATAAATTAAAAAAGAAAAAAATTAAGTTACAAGAAAGTTTTAAAATATAAAAACTAAATAATTATTTTTTCTTAAAAAGAATTAATTAATTTATTTCTCAAAACTAGAGGGATTAATTTATAATTTATTCTTCTAATTTCGTATGAAATAGTAAAATAATCTTCTTGCCTTTACTGTCCTTGTGTTAAAAAAAAAAAAAAAAAAAAAAAAAGCGAAATCGAATAAGTCTCACAACTAAGTAAGGATTATTGATTGTCTTTCATCTCAATTAAGTCCCAAAAGGTTTGAAAAACTCTTAATTGAGTTCTTAATTTTTAACTTGACTTTTTTGTTAAAACTTGATCAAATTTTTGAATGGAAAATCTAATCTAACCTAACGGAGTAATTTTGAAAACTTTGAAGATCAATTGAGACCAAAATGTTTTTTTGTGCCTGGACTTAGTCAAGATTTTGATTATAGTTTGAGGGCTAAATTTGGGTTTTTCCAAAAAAAAAAAAAAAAAACTCAGATACCATGGTTGGAACTTGTAAGGAGTAAATTATAAATTAGTCCTTCTAATTTTAACAAATGAATTAATTAGTTTTTTATTTTAAAAATTATTATTTAGTTTTTTTGTTAGTTTTGATCATGTTTAATTTAATATTATTTTTATTTCATAAATTTTTTTCATCAATATTTCCATATTTTTTTAACATTTTCCTTTTTCTAATTATTAAAATAAAAAATAAAATAAATTGAAAAAACAAAAAAGTCTGAATGATTAATTTTTGAAAAAAAAAACTAATTTATTTATTTTTCAAAACTAAAGGGGCTAATTTATAATTTGTTCAACTTGTAAGTCGTTGTAAAAAGAGAATTCATTATTGCTGGGGAAAAAAAAATTCAAATCAAATAAAGAAAGAAGTCAGTAAAAAGACGGCTAGAGACAGAATCGAAAGCAAAGCCGGTCGGGTCTAACGGGGAAAGAGGAAATTCAATCTTCAGACGACACAGACAACAACGTAAGACAGTTTATTCTTATGATTTATATTTTGTTGTTTGTTCAATTCCGTGGTTTTTTTTTTTTTCTGAATCAGAAGTTGAAATCTTGACTGTCCCTTATCATGGATTTTTCTTCTGAAGTGGGCAAAATCATGGATATTTCTTCATCCTGGGATGGAACCCTCGCGCAGAATGATTTCTCTGTTGCTGCTCACGTTTTTGCTGAGAAATGGAAAAGGAATAACTCTGCTTCCCCTTCATGGTTATGGGTTAATTCTCCAAAAGGACCTCTCCTTGCTTCTTCTCAACATGTTGGTATTCATTCTTACCCAACAAAAAAAAAAAAAAAAACCCTTCCATTCCTCCATTTCTATTCTTATATTTTGTTTGTCTTATCTTTCCTTTCTTTACCCAGGTGGAGGGGTACTTGTCTTTGGAGAATATATGTGTTCTTGTCTCTACTGAGGTCTGGTCTGGTCTTGATCGTACAATGAACCTCAAATTTTTTAACCCCAGAAATTGTTATTGATATTTGTTTTTAAAGGATAATCATGATGAAGGAAGTTGCAGTATGGAAGAGGAGACTGGTTTCTCTGAGATAGAAGGGGCAGCTGATAATGCAACATTGGTATTTCTCTCCTACTTTCTCAGATAATCAATGTTTTATGTTGTTTTTTCTTCATACAGGTTTAAGCTTATGTATCTAGAGTGGAACTTATGTGTTACAATTATCCGTTTTTCACTCTCATCTTCTTGCCATATCAATGTTGTTCTTGTTCTTTGCTGCCAGGTCCAAAGCAATTGTCATGAAGTGCATTACTATGATTTTCATATAGTCTACAGTGCTTCATACAGGGTTCCTGTGCTATATTTCCGTGCATACTGCAGTGGTATGTGCTTCTTTCTCTCGCTTTGTTGACCGATATAAGTTTATATGCACGGATGTTTCTTAAATTTTGTGAACATCTTGTTATGTGGAGTTATGTCATCCATCTGATTTTTTACTAGATTATTCTGGAGTCATTCATCTTAAAATTTTCCAACATAATGTAACTAAAAGATCGTTCAGCGAATTGATCAAGTCTAATTATTAGGTTGCTATTATTCTGGGCTTCTAGCTGTACATAGCAGAGTAATTGAGCCATTATGTCCATGCTTATTTTTACACTGATGTCAATAAGTTGTTTGAAGTTCGAACATACTGATTTTGTTCAGTGTATAGATGGAAGGCCATTGCTGTCGAATGAAATTGAAAAGGACCTTCCAGCTTGCTCCACAAAGGCATTGTTGGAAACAAAGTGGACTTTCATAACTCAGGAGGTGCATTTTCTTTCTTTTCATTTTCTTCTCAATTATCAGTTTGTATTTGTTTTCTGATCTGCTCAAACTTTGTTTATTGAATTGCAATGAAGCCATTAGATAGATATGATGCTTGTTTTTGGTAGGATGAATAAGTAAGGAAACCATTTTTTTAAGAGCGAGTCTATATTTGCAAGGGGTGGAGGTACTGCACATATGATGTTGGGTAATCAAGCAATGCATCAGTTGATTTACAGAAAGCTTTGAATTTTTTGAGCGCTGACAAACTGGCGCCATTATTATGAATATATCACAAGTGTTCATAGATGATGAAATCTACACTTGTCTGGTGTCTGAAAATGCAACATGAAAGGAATAATACACATGAATTTTTGTGGACTTTGGGCACTGACTGAATATGGTTTTCCTCTCTATATAATGAAAAATAGCACCATGTTGTATTTTCAACATAATAGTAACTCAGTAACTGCTTGTGTATGTATTGTGGATATTGATCAAGTATCACTTGTCACTTGTCGGTTTTTCTTGGAAAGATTTGTGGTTAATTGTTGAATTAATGCATGGAAATTGGGAATGCTAACTCATTCGATGTTATTAATTCAGGAGCATCCATACTTGAATAGGCCATGGTACAAATTACATCCATGCGGGACCGGTGAATGGATGAAGTTGCTTTTCCTTGGTGATGAGGTTCATGCTAATAATGGACTGGCCATTGAGCTATATCTGGTGTCATGGTTCTCAGTCGTTGGGCAGGTGGTTGGTCTTAAGATCCCTTTAGAAATGGTGAAAATTGTAGCGTAATTGATGGCAATGCTTTGGACAAAGTATGAACGTATCATGAAATGGCCTAAAGAAGTGAATTACTCTACTCTAGCAATGAGCCTTGATGTATGCGTATTGAATTGTTTTATTTTCTGATACGCTATTTCGAGTACGAAGATTTAGAACTTGATCATAGTTTTAAATTGTAGACGTTTATTGATGACGCGATAACAGGTTGTAACTTATTACAATAGTAAAATAACGAGTTATGACAATCGATGTTATAAATACATTAACAATCGTTAATAAATTTATTCTAATTCATATATTTTTAATAATTTTACTAATTAAACATATTAATAACATTTCTAATAATTCAATAACATACAACAATAGTTGAATTTTTTACAAAAAAAATAAAAATAAAAAATTAATAACATTTTTAATAGATAAATATTATATAAAAATAATAGAACACATTATAATTTTAACATACACAATTCAAAATATTTATTTATAAAAAAATTGTCGAGAGGATTATAATAATAGCTATCAATTTTTTGTTTTTTTTATGTGATTTTCATTCATTAAAATTATAACCATAGATGTATTGTCCTCTCAAATTCAAATGTCTAAAAAATGGATGATCCAATTTTTTAAAGATGCTATGGATTTGAAATAAACTAGTTTGATGAGTTACCAATTATGATGAATAATTATATACTTGTGGTCCTTGTAGATAATAATATTGTCTCCAACTATAATTGAAGATAGAAGTTAAGCTATTTTCAAATGAGACATAACGATGTCTTTGATCGTGCAGTATGATATGACTAGATTGTTGTGGTTTTATCACTCGGTGCATCATTTCTAACATAAGATCTAAGAGTAGTAAGATCATGCAATCTACATCTATCTAGAATTAGATTGTTATTGCTATAATGTATGGTTTTATGAATGTCTCTTCTTATTTGAAAAAAAAAAAAAAAAGTCTCAACTTCATGGATACCACTATCAAAAGCTACTCCATAACCTCTATCATTGCTATGGTCATTGTTTTTATGGGAAGCTACTAGATCACCGAGTTCCTTGTCTTGACTATCATTACTACTATTATCACTACCATATGGATTATTTTGATTATTAGGATTGTTTTTTATCATTTTCTTCATCATCACCATAATCATCTTACATGTGCAACCAATCTATATTTTGTCCAACGAAGATTGGTTGTTTAATTTTTTCTAACTAATCGGATAGTGGATCATCTTCATGGAACATATAATCTAAGTTGATTGAATTAAAACTTTCATATTATTATTATTTTTTTACTCCTTCGCAAAGTGTTTCTCAATCATAATTTCATGTTATAATAAAGATAAACAAGTGTATATACTTTAACTTGTTTTTTATCTTTGTATGTACTAAGTTGAAAATACTTCATTTCTCTCATAATTAGAAGCGTATGTTATTTGACTCAAAATCTGCATTGCAATCTTTCTAAGAGTTAGAGCATTATTTTCATAACTAGTGGCTACATTGTACAAATGAATTTACAATTTTTTTTTTAAAGTGTAAATAACTAACATCAATAATATTTTTTAGCCTAATACAAGGATTCAAGTATTTACAACATCAAATTGCACAAAAAAAAGAAAGAAAGAAAGAAAGAAAGAAAGAAAAGTATTTGCAATATTAATCAATACTAAGTCATCTATAAAATTCAATAGTTATATTGAAAAAAAAATAAATTAAAATATAGACAATTTTTTTTCTTTTTTTTCTTTTCTTTTTTTTTTTTTTTTTTTTTTTTTTATGAAAACTAATAACAGAATTTAATGTGAAATTAGAAAAAAAAAAGCAACGAAATTAACTTAAAAATAACAAAGCCTATGTCTAATCCAACAGTTAGCAACAATAATTCAAACTCAATTTAATATAAATCTTAATGAATCTTAATGAATCACCTATAGATTTAACAATAGTAATTAATTTTGAAAATTAAAAAAAAAGTAAGTAAAATTAGTTTGAGTTAAAAGTTACCTCTATGAATTCTCGACTTTCCAAGTAAATATTAAAAAAAATTTGTGGTTCTGTAAGAAAATGAAGTTGAAAGTATTCAATAGTTATGTTAATTAATACTACCTTCTATAATATTCAATAGTTATAGTAAAAAAAGGGAAAAAACTAAATTTGAAAATCAAAATACAGACAAATTTTTTTTAGTAAAAACCAATAACAAAATTTAATCTGATTTTTTTTAAAAAAAAATTGATGAAATTAATTTAAAAATAAAAAAGTCCATGTCTGATAGAAGAGTTAGCAACAACAATTCAATTTCAAGATCAATTTAATATGGATATTAATATATTGCTTATAGAACCAATACCAGTGATTAATTTCAAAAATTAAAAAATAAAATAAAATAAAATAAAGAGTTAAAAATAACCTTGTGAATTCTACTCTTGCCAAGCACTTTTTAAAAGTTTTATATGCGGTTTGATTAAAAAAACAAAAAAAAAAGAATTTAAAAACTAATTGAATGCCTTCAAATTATTTGTTGAAGCCTAGACTTGAGAGTTGAGAAGCTTCATGAAGACATAAATTGAAGCTAACATTGAAGATAGCATGATATTAAAACAAGCGAAGACTGAAGGGTGTATTTTTTTTTTTTTTTTTCCTTCAAGACATTTGATTGCACGCAACAAAATCCATAGACTGCAAGGACGCATGCAGGCGTTTTCCTTCAAATCATTGTAATCTATGGCCTGGATGAATCATTAGCTGTTTTTCTTATTTTGTTTCATAGTTTCAATTCTTCATCAAAGGACCCTAGAAATCTTTTCTTAATGCAGAGGCGTTTTATACCTCTTGATTTCCATAAAATTTGAATCAGTAATTCACAACTGCTTTGTCCATCCTGATGACTATTATAGACGATCGAAAGATTGCAGAACTGCAAACCTGAGCTCATAAACAAAACATTAATCAATAGCTTCTGTAAGGGTTATTCAAGAATTGCCTGCCTTATACACTTGTAATGCCATAGTTTTTCTGTAGGAGATTACATTAAATTGATAATTGAATCAGAATGGTGGAGAATGCATTGAGCTTGAAAAACTGGACTCCTCACCAGCAATAGGGCACAAAACAAATCAACTGTACCAAAAAAAAAAAAAAAAAAAAAAAAACACAAACATAATTAAGATCATGGGAGCTGGAGTAATAATATCTCTCGTGCTTTCAATTCTACAAAAGTTAGTTGGATGTAAATTACATACAGTAGAAGCCATGAATTCTTGTTTTGTAGCTAATAGCAAAGTCTTTCCTTTTATGCTAGCAGCGTTTATTCCGTACTTTTTTCAGGTATTCGATTGAAGTGCACAAGAAATTCTATGTTACCCTCAGCACCCTTTAGAGGAGACTCAATCCAACCATTCCTGCGGAATCCAAAATTCTCCACACCTGTTGTTATCTTCTCAAGAACCTACACATTAGAAGCAAATTCATATCATATTTTCACTTAGCACTATCAAGTAATTTCTAATCTAGTTTATTTTGTGAATTATCTCACTCGTTCAGTGAGAGTCTGGAAGCAAAATCATTACATTTTTGGCCTCATAAATCATAAATAATATCAAATAAGATATAGCTGCAACAAATACGTTCAACATAAAGTCCAGACCAACTTTTGCAAAATAATTAAATAACTAAGCTGTGAATTGAAAGTCTTGAGAATCATGTTGCGAAACACAAGCTAATGAAAGATTCAGAGACAGCCTAGACAGGAGGGCAATGGGGCTGCTTACCTCTTGGTGGACTTGGGAATCTCTTACTATCCCGCCACTTCCTACCTGAGAAGGCACTACAAATTATTTATTCTGAAGATAATAATTAAACTTTCATTGTTGTTTGCTGAGAAAAAAGTAATGACTCGCTACCTTCAAACTGAAAATTAACTATTCCCCAAGAAGGCACAAAAGCTAACTTGCAAATTACTGTGAAAAGAGACCGTGGATATCAATTGGAGCCTAAGGAAAAGGCAGTATGAATCCACATATAGCCATTCGTAAAATAAATAATAGATATTTGGAAGTGATTTTTAAATATAAAACGGCCAGTTCATTGTGTATCACATACGCTACTGCTTCTAACCGACATACTAAGAATCATGACATGCAAAAAAATTAGGATAAACTACCACTTCACCACCAAGGCATGTTTAATAATTTCTTCCACTTTAGCTTGTAACGTGTATTACATTTGTGGCAAATTCTGGTCAATTTAAAAGAAAAAAAAAAGAAGAAGAAGAAGGAAAAAGTGTGTAATTGGGCTATGCAAATGGCTGCTATACGAATGCTTCTGCTTGATTGGAATTTGAAAATCCCAAAGCCTAATGCTTTCACCTTTATTGTAGAGCTGTTCGGAATGAAAAAAATAATTAGATTTATCTCATTTGAAATATCTCTCTTAGCCATAATAGAATGGTGAAGACAATCATCAACAAAGGTAAACCTAAAGAAGTCATTAAAAGTATTTTCACAGAAAAAGGTAAACTTAAAATACTGTTACCAAAAAATTAGAAAGGTTTCCCTTCAAGTTTTGCACAGACACACTTCATAGATTCAATTTTCAATAATAATCTGAATTACAACTGGATAACAGTTAAAATTTAAAAGACAGGTATACTAAAATACTACTCTCAATTTCTTACTTGAGATCTGCGAGCTTCAAACTGAGGTTTAACCAGGGTCACTAATGTTGCCTCTTCCTTCATGACATTGACTATAGCAGGCATAACCTGCAAAAATTAAGTCTTCCAAAAGGTAGAATACAACATTGAGCTAAGAGGCCTCTCCCCATGAAAGGAGATAGAGGGGTGGGTTGAATGCAACCTGTCAAAATTTGTAAAAATATTTTACCAATGTTTGAAGGCTTACCAGGATAATAGAGATGAATGAGAGGTCCAGAGTCACCAAATCAACTTTCTGGGGGAGTTCAGAGAGGTATCTTAAGTTTGTTCTTTCTATCACACAAACACGTTCATCTCGACGAACTTTGTCAGCCACCTGATGGAGAAGTCACTGTATATATTTATCAACAGCCACTAAGAAAACAACAACCAAGAATTTGCTGTCTAAAGGTTGCATACACCATCATTTATAAGCAACAAAAGCCATAATTTTACCACTAAAGAATTTCCTCTCTAAAGGTTGGCTACACCATATTTTCTTGAACAAAAGTCCATAGTTTCGACTGATATAAATTTGCTATAATAAAATATTATAAGATTTTCACACCTGTCCATAACCTACATCAACTCCATAAACGAATGATGCACCATACTGAAGCAAGCAATCAGTAAATCCTCCAGTAGACAATCCTGAATCCAGAGCTACTTTGCCAGCTACAGCAACACCCAGTTGTTCAATGGCAGCTTCTAATTTATATCCTGCTCTGGGTTAGCATACAAAATAGTAAATTTCAATACTTCAAGCCTCAGAAACCTGACCAAATTTACTGCAGAGTGTAATTTCATGTATTTAAAGAGCATTATGAGTTGTCTTGGGGGAGCAATCACCTACATACATATTTTGGAACTTCGGCATTTATCTCTACAACAGATTTCTCAGACACAGGTGTGCCAGCTTTGTTCACCACCTTTCCATCCACAAATACTTTACCTAAACCAAAACATATCAAACAACTAAACTGAACTGCCAACATTAATTATGTTTGATGAAACTTTCTAGGGGAGAAAATATTTTTATTCGCATATACATTGAGGTAAGAAAGTACATTTTTATAAGCAGAGAGGAAAAGCTAATTTGCTTCAGTAGGAAAAAACATATAAATCCCTAACTTATCGTATCGGCTAGTATTTAGGAAATTAACCCCAAACACTTAGGAGACTAATGATCTACTTCCTAAAATAGAATGATTTCTAGAATAGTCTAATGATACAAGATCTTTCTACACTTAATATTTATGATGATGAATGAAAATTGAGGAGTCTACAAAGCAGACTAGCTCTCAGAAACGACACTGTTACATAGTAGTATATGTTCAAACTCGGCTACAGCCACACAATCCCACACTCACACAGAGGAAACAAGTAATGTGTAACAATAACACCAATCTGTGGCAGACGTACATAAGCTAAAACCCATATCCAGATATTTATTTCCCAGAATATTCGTGGGAGAAAAACTGGATTTATTAGCATTTCCTTGCCAAAGTAGTGAAATCATAAGGTTAGAGAATGTTGACAATACAATTCAGTAATTTCACCAGTTAATGCAAAAGGTAAATAGATTGCTTAGCTTGCAGCAAAATGAAAAATAGAGGTGATCACCAACTGAATGATACGGCTAACCTTGTAAAATCCATGACTGTATAAATGTTCGGCTGTATTGCTGGAACCTTTCAAGACATATTTCATCCAGCCTCCGTTTTCTGAAATTGTCAGTATGAGAAAGTGAAAGAACATATTAAAGAAGATTAAAGAGACAATTTTCGATACTAATTGCACAGCTTATTTCTTTTCTGATTCCTAGATATATGGTGTTTAAATTTGAAAACTTCATAGTTCAACGCCATCAAAAAAATTGTTAATAACAAAATACATCTATATTTGCTGTTTCTCATTATTACTTGCATATGATAGATAAATGCATGAATGAAATTAACAATCGACCGAGCAAGCAAAAGCAATGGGAAATAAGCAAGGAAATGCATGCATGGTGTAACAAAGGAAGCATAATGAGCTGATCAAGAATAGCTTAGCTTAGCTTACTTTTTAGGTAGTTGAAACTTTCCTGTCTTAGCAGCAGGAGCAGCAGCAAAGCTTCTAAATGGACTACATTGTATTTCTGGTTTGACCCATCTAACTGAAAGTTGAGGAAAGGAAACAATAACAAACTTGCAGCCCAGAATGATAAAACACAATAATAACGATAATGGATGTGAAAAAGTTGCAGCCCAAAAATGAACCAGTCTGTTATTTTTGTTTTCTTATCATCAATTAGCAGAAGCAATTTGAAGAAAAACAAAAAACAAACCCGCCCCATAAACAACAACAACAATCAATCAATAGCACCATAATTAAGGAAAAGAAATCCTCTTCAAAACTAATGGGTAATCACGATAAAAGAGAAAAACCCTTCCTTACAATATAAATTTTTGAAGTCGCCAAATGTTCGTGAAAATTACTGAATGAATGAAAAGTTGCATATGAGTAATATATAGGGAAAGAGAAGATAACCTGGAGGAAGATTAGAAGCGTAGTGGTAGTGGTAGGATTTGGAGAAAAAAGCAGCCTTGAACTGCTAGTACTACTGGCGAAGCGTGAGATAATAATGGGAAGCTTGAGATGTTGCACCGCCATTTTTTTGGCTTCGCTACTCTGTCTAGCTCCAGCCACCCTCCAGTATCTGCTGCTTCTTACTTTATAGTCAGAGATGACATGTCATGCATGTTAGAAACGACGTGTAGCCTAGAAGGTAATTTTCAAAACCCCAATAAAATCCCAAATTCACTTTCCAATTCCTACGGATTCGTCCGCTTCACTTTATTTAGGGTTTTTGAATTTTTTTTTTTTTTTAAAAAAGCCACGAAGACACTCAATGGGTTGTGAACTCGTAAGCTCAGAAAAAGCTAATATGGACAATCCGACTTGCGATGCAGGGGGTGAATATTTTCATGGAGCAACTCATTTATGAGATTGAGAGTATGATTTTTCTCGATTGTAATCTTTAATTGATAACATATCTACTTCTTACGAAAAATTGTAGTTATCCCAATATAAATACTATGAGATTCTTTTTTTTTTTTTTTTTTTAACAAAAATTGATGTGAACACAATATTTTCAAAAAATAGGAGATAATATATATTTTTAAATAATAGATGAATATATTTGACCTACAATATAATGTGATTAAAAAAATGTTTCGATTGTGTGTATTTAATATTATATGATTGGGGCTTGGGTTAAATAAATATACTCAATTTCTTGATTTTTTGAGTTCAAATTTTAAAGTTAGTATATAGAAGAATGTATTAAAATTTATCTAAACACATGAGGCTGATATAAAAATTGTATTTTTAAAATTATTCAAGAAGAAACTTAATTTCAATTCATATACAAATTGGTCTAAAAATAGAATAAAAAATTAAAAAATATATTACATAATTAAGATTTCAGAAAACGTAATTATTAGATTAAAATCATTATCCATTTATTCGGGTTAAATGATTGTTTTTAAATTTGAGACATTTTTATTATACCATTCACAGAGTTGATCCCTCCATTTTATCAATTAATTATTTAATTCTCTTAATTAAAAAAAATTAAATAATCTTTTGATGAATGTGGATCATTCTTAAATTAATAGTTATTTTTTTTTGTCTTATTTCATAATGTGTTTAGAGTAAATTATAAATTAGTCCATTTAGTTTTATGAAACAAATTAATTAATCTCTTTTGTTTTAAAAACTATTATTCAATCATTTGACTTATTGTTGATCATGCTTATTTTAATATTATTTTTATTTTACAAAATTTTTTTTTCTCATCAATCTTTGCTTTTTTTTTTTATTTCTTAAAATAAAAAATCAAAATACATTGAAAAAAAAATTAAGTTATAAATAGATTTAAACTTATGGAGACTAAATAATTAGTTTTTGAAAAAAAAAGTACTAATTTCTTTCTCGAAACTAGATAATTTATAATTTATTTTTTCCTTTTTATCAATATTTTCCATCTTATATACTTTTAAAAAAGAAAAAAAATTGGAATAGAAGATAAAATTGAAAAAAATAAAATTATGAAGATTAAATATGTAGTTTCGAAAACCATGAAAATTAATTAATTTGTTTTGTTAAATTACAAAGAAAAAGTTACTCTCTCCTCGACGAACGAAGCTTTCTGAGCAAATCTCATGAAAATCCCAACTTTATAGGTGCAATTTCGATTAGGTCCCCAACGTATTAGTGAATTATCAATCAGATCTTTCTATTAGTTTCGGTTACTAAAAAGCCATTAAATTGTTAAGATTTTTCTTTCGACCCAAAAAAAAAAAAAAAAAAGAAGCAATCTTCTTAGCCTTACGATGTCAACAAGTTTTGCAACTAGGGATAGGGCTATGGATAAGGTTACAAATGGAATCCCCCCAATGGAAATTGAACAAGTTTGACACATCACCAATGACAACCACAAGTTTGGAAGCAATAAATCCTCTTAGCCTACTGAGAAAACCAGACACCTTCCTTCCCCTTCGTTACATATTTGTACACGCTTTATCGTCCAAGCTCTTCTAACAAACGAGGGGGAAAAAAAAAGGCAATCAAATGGCTACTACTGCTTCTCCAATGGCCAGCCAGCTCAAGAGCATCTTTGCCTCATCTTTAGCAAGAAGGCTTGTCATTCCCAGAGGCATATCTGGAGCTCCATTTAGAGTTTCTCCCACCAAGAGAAGCTTCACTGTCAAAGCTGTTCAATCAGAGAAGGCAAGGAATGCTTCCCTCCCTTCATTTTCTTGTTGACCGTATGTTTAGCTAGCTAGTACTATTGTTGTTTAGATGGTACAAGTACAATCAATTTTGTTACCAACCATGTTCTTCTGTTATATCAAATGTTATTACTTCAACTGTACTAGAAATTGAATTGGAAGAAAAAAAGGGCTCTGTGAAATCATAATAAGAATTTTGTTTGTTCGAATCTTGCAGCCAACTTACCAAGTGGTTCAACCAATCAATGGAGATCCCTTCATTGGAAGTCTTGAGACTCCCATCACATCAAGCCCACTGATTGCATGGTACCTCTCCAACTTGCCCGCCTACAGGACAGCAGTCAGCCCACTTCTCCGCGGAATCGAGGTTGGACTGGCTCATGGCTTCCTCCTCGTAGGTCCATTTGTCAAGACTGGTCCACTGAGGAACACAGAGTATGCAGGTGTAGCTGGATCTTTGGCTGCAGGTGGTCTAGTTGCGATACTAAGCATTTGCTTGACCATGTATGGAATTGCGTCATTCAATGAAGGAGAGCCATCTATTGCCCCAGGTCTAACCTTGACTGGTAGGAAGAAGGAGCCTGACCAGTTGCAAACTGCAGATGGATGGGCCAAGTTCAGTGGAGGATTCTTCTTTGGTGGAATTTCTGGTGTCTTCTGGGCATATTTCCTTCTCTATGTCATCAACCTTCCTTACTATTTTAAGTAGAGAAAATCTACATTTTTCTTAATTTGTTTGCTGTAAACTCTCTGTCAATGTATATTTACTTATTTTGGATAGTCATTTGCAAAAAATTGAAACTCCATATTTGTCTCTTTGAACACAACATCATGCATGGTTATGGAGAAACTGGAATTATTTCAACTATTTAAGAATTTGCAATGTACTCAACTACTCACTCGTGCACGCTCCCAGCCACCATCAGTTTGAACCCTAATTAACTCCAAGCAATCATAGCTACAAGCTCGTAAGCAAGGACTAAAGTGACATTAAAAAAAAAACATCCAAAGTGTCCTGAATTTCCATTAATTCCTAATAAAATGCAGTTCAATGCGTCAACTGACTATTGCAAGCAACACACTTGTCTACAAATGCCAGTGAAGTTTGAGAGTTCGGTTCAATTATAGGTTTCGACAAATTTTGTTATTCTTGATTCTCCTAGTGAATCTGTGATTTTTATTTATTTTATGAATCTTGTTCCCTTTGGTGAAAAGTCCGGCACATGTAAAATAAAACCTACAAAGAGAGAGGGAGAAAAAGGATACGAAAGACCTAAACATACACAGTAAAACAAATAACAGCCCAAAAGTGAGGTGCAAGAACCCAATTCCTAGGAAGAAGAAAGAACACACGTCAGACGAAAGAGATCAGATGGAATAGGGTTTTGCATGAACAACAAGGGCTAGAGAAATGGATCAGAATGCCGATAAGAAGGATAGTGATAAATGTTTATAGCTTGAGCATAATAAATGTAGCAAATAGGAATCCAAAATAAACTTCATTTTTTTTTAGAATTTTAGGATCATGTGACGTGATTGTTTCTACCAAAAAAATATGAGAGCCAGAGAAAACCTATCCTCTCACCGAAACCTTTCATGTTCTCTTTGTGGAAAAGGCCAACTACTCCCTACTTACCTGCCATTAACGGTCTCTTTTGTTTTTGCTTGCAATTGCATAACTCACTCAGCAATGGCAATTCTTCAACCCAAAATTCCATTGTGTCTTCACTCCCAGCATTTCCATTTCCCTCTGGATCACTCTCCTACTGCAGCACCTTTTCATTGCACCCCCTTCAAATCAGCAAGAAAACCACTCAAGCTCACTTGCTCATCCAACAGCCAAGATGTATGATTCTTTTTTCTTTTGAACAATTTGGTTATCATATACAAGTGATTCTTTTCTTTTTTATTTTATTTTTAATTGTTTTTCCCTTGAATTAAAAGCAGGATTATCTGATAGATGCTCCTGTTTCTGCTGGAGATGGATTTTCGTTCACTGGAGGTGCCTTCCTATTTTTGCTTTTATTTAACATAAAGTTATGAACTGTATAAGATTGATAAACCGTGTGTGTTTGAAACAGGGAAATATTCAGATGGGCCTAGCCCGTCTGATGAATGGTTTAAGCTAGGAAAGACTGTAAGTTTTGGTCCTTATTTTGTTTATGCTGCAATATTTTGTATTATGTAGATATTCTAGTTACAATATCAATTGCCTGGCAAGAAGAAAGGAGAAAAAGAAGTGAATTTGCTTGATGTTGTTTGATCATAGAGAGCTCTTTTCTAGGTGAAAGCTCATCCTGTTTCTGGCTCTGGAGACAAGGCAAAAGATCCTATATTTGGACTTAAAATGGGTTCTGGTTCTCAGGCCTCAAATGATCTTTTCAGGTATTAAAAGTTTCAGTTTTACTAGTGTGTTTTTATAGGAGTTTTGTTATAGGTAGAGCTCTATAATGTCAAGAGATTGAGATTGGATTATGTGCAGGGATTATCGATTGAAACATGCTCTCTCTATATATGATTTTGTGCAATAGATGGTTTTGCGTCGAAAGTGGAAATGCTGATAATCCTACTGTTATATTAATTCATGGTTTCCCTTCACAGGTGAGTTCTTTCTTCAATGGATGGTATTAGGAATTCAATCATCCTTATGTTACATGCATTTTTGTTCCCTTTTCATAATCTCACCTAAAGGACTTGTGATTTTCATACAGTCTCTTGGATGAACTTGTTCTTGTGATAGTACAGTTTGGCTTATTAGCTAAGTGCCTGTCGGTGTTTAGTACAAGTTGTACAACGCCTTGGTTGTCTATGACAGAATGTTTTATGACCAAAAATTCAGTTTAAGCATGACTGAACGTTTGTAATTTTTGCTGCACTTTCGGCCAGACGAAAGGCCGGAGAAGCCAGCATGATGTATCATAATGTTTTGGATAGTTATGTTTATCATACTATAACTTATGCCATGTAATTCAATTTGTATATTTCTTTTATGTGTCTCTGATTTTTCAGTTATCTATGTATTTATTGAATAACAGTCATCAAACCATCAAGAAAGATGTCATAAGGCTTGTGTACGTTCCTAAAGCATCGTCAAATTTGAGATAGAACAGTTCAGGCTATGGTGTTTGATATTGGTTAAATATCTTTGTTCGTAGTAGAATTTTATGTGACATTACATGATTTTTAGGTTTACGTTATATGTGGCTGTTGGCTATGTTCTTTTCATCCAGCTGCTAACCCCATTCATTAGCATACTGTTCTTGATATGCATGTCTTTCATTGTTGTTATTAGACTTATATAAGAGTTTGATGCACATATAAGAATCAGTTTTTATTCTGTCACAGGCATATTCATACCGCAAAGTTCTTCCCACACTGTCCAAAAACTATCATGCCATTGCTTTTGATTGGGTAGGTAAGATCATAATTCTTGTACTGTGAATTGTTTGTTTTCAGCTCATTGTGAGTTTCTGTTTCTTGAGTTGATTTTACGACAAAGCAAGGTATGATTTTTTACCCCCTACCCACTAGCTGATATATTTTTTTTCAATGAAATAAGCTGAAGTATTGGAAATTATATGCTTGAGGGTGGCAATGAACTTTAAATAGGATATAGACAATACACAGAGCTTTCTTGTTGCCTCAGCCATGTGGATTTACATCTAGTAGTTGGAAAAGTATTCTTCAACCTCAATATTTGAGTTCACTTACAATCTCTTGCATGAAAAGTAATTGTTTTAATTACCTGTTTATTTATCAGAGGTGATGCACTTGTGAATTTACTCTGCAATTAGCCTTAGGATAGAATTTGCTGGTGACATCAGTTTGCTCAGTTTTTACTAACCAGCGAGCAGATTGCAGTTTTGCATCTTTCTTAGATGATTTTTTTGTTTTTTTAAAAAATTTTATTAGAGGACCATCTTACTCAAAAGATTAAGCTTTTAGGTAAGACCACCGAATATAATTTATATTACTCTCTAATACGTCCCTTCAAGTGAAGGCTCATCATTTGGGTTTAAAACTTACACAGGTCCACATTGTCTTGTGCTTAATACTTGAAAAAGTGAGGGTGGTGAGACTTGAACTCAGGACTAATTGGTGAACCAAACTTTGACATTATATCAAAGGACCATCTCACCCAAAAGCTTAAGCTTTTAAGTGGGGTCCAGAATATAATTTATATTACTCTCTAACAAAGTTTAACAATCTTGATATATGCTTTTGTTCTTGTCAGAAAGCATATTCTCAACTAAATATCAATTGATTACATGTTAATACAGAAATTTTTCTGAGTCACTTTCCCTTCTTTTTCAGGATTTGGATTTTCAGATAAGCCTCAACCCAGATATGGATTTGACTACACTATGGATGGTATTTAGTATTTACTTGACAGTGGCAGGGGAAGGGTTAAAGATTAGGCCTCATGTTATGGTTTCATGCTTCAATTGGTATCTTAGCAGAAGGAAGATGAATCATGATATCATATAGAGAAAGTGATGTTCATCATAATTTTTTGTTATGATTTTGCAGAATATGTGGCATCCTTGGAGTCCTTAATCAGTGAAATTGCCACTGAGAAGGTATCACTTGTTGTGCAGGTATGGTTGCCTACTTTCCATCTAAAAGCATTGATGCACAAGTTAATGCTATTTATCATGTAACTAGCTTTTATCGTTGTTTTTTCCTACTTAGATGAATGAATTATTAATATATAAAAGACTATATAGCAAATAACACAAAATTCAAGCCTTTTGTTGTCTTCATAAATTTTTTAAAGTCTTCATAAATTTTTTAACTTATTCTGCTATTTATTTATATAAGATATGCAAGTGCAGAACTTCTAACTTTGATGTACTTCTCAGGGCTACTTTTCGCCAATTGCTGTTAAATATGCTAGCAATCATCAGGGAACGCTTAATGATCTAATACTCCTCAATCCCCCAGTAAGTTTTTCTTACCAGCGAAGCAGTGACTTCTTTAGTTTCATTATCGACTTACCTTTATTTTCCTCTATTGAAATTTTCCTGTCAAGAAGCATCTTTGCTTTCTTCACTTGACAACGAAGAGTATGTAAGGCTTGCTGTCTTATCATGTATATCTATCATTAGACTCATGAAAGAATTATATTGTTTTCTTGAATTTTTATTTGATGATAATTACTAAGGCTATGCTGTTTTTCTTGGTTTATAAGCTAACTGCAACACATGCCAATCTTCCATCAGCCTTGTCCATATTCAGCAACTTCTTGCTGGGTGAAATCTTTTGTCAGGTAAAAAGCTTCATTCTATGTTCCCGCCAACGACATGGGGCTTGTGCTTCTATTTCTGTCTTTGTGAGTTTAAGCAATATTGTATGCATCAGCTTTGTCCATCTGTTATTCCATGACTAATGACTTCACACCTACGCTGAAATAGGATCCTTTAAGGGCCAGTGACAAAACCTTGACCAGCTCTGGACCCTATAAAATGAAAGAAGATGATGCAATGGTGTATAGAAGACCTTATCTCACATCTGGGTCTTCAGGGTTTGCATTGAATGCGATTAGTAAGGCCATGAAGAAGGACCTAAAGGTGAGTTCAATATATTTCCTCTTCGCCTAAAAGTTTGTTAAAGTACACTCGAGTCTTTCCTTGTTGAGTCTCAAGGCCCACTACAAGTCAGTCAGCACTTTACCATTAACTCTGGCTTGGTGTCTTACCATGCGTATCTATTTTTGCAGCTGTTTCTTGTTTGAGCAGTCAATCTCATCGCTATTCTTTCTTCTATTACTCACCCGTGCTTTTGTGAAATTTCTTCAGCTTTTTTTTTTTTTTTAAGAAAAAAAAAAAAAGGATAGGATTCCAGGCATCAAGTCTCGTCTCATCTAAGAAAAAGGCTTAAATTAGTCCAACCAAATGAGCGTAGCTGTCTGTATCTCCGTAGTTCAGGTTATACGATCATCCCTGAGAGGGTCTGTATCTTATCTTGACTTATGCCACATAACGATTCTTAAAAATGCTCTGCATGCTCACATTGAATCATCTTCACAACGAGTCATTGGTATTTACGTCAGTGTTGAATGTGCATGTTCTTGAGTTAACATATTGTTTCACTTTATGGTCTTAGATGAAAAACAAGAATATCTGGTAAATTTTTTTTTTTTTTTTTTTTTTAATTCTGATCACCATGCAAGATTTTAGCATGTGTTTGAGGTTACAACCTCTAATAATATTGTCAGTAGTAGATTTGGAACTAATTAATTCTATTACGTTTTGTGGCATGATGATGATTTTATACTGAACGTTTTGTCTTGCTAGACTCCTGGAGTTTGTGGAGACCTGAAAGCAAGCTAACTTAGTGATTATTGCTGTGAAATAAGTTTATTAGATGCTAATGCTTGTCCTGTTTATGTTATTGTTCTTCTTTCTCGACCCCACAGGCCTATGTGGACGAAACAAGGAAAACACTCTTGGACGAAAATTGGAAAGTTAAAACCACAGTGTGTTGGGGCCTGAGAGATCGTTGGTTGAGCTATGATGGAGTTGAAGACTTCTTGAACAATTCCAAACATAAACTAATTGAGCTTCCAATGGTAGAAACTCTCCTCTTCTCTGCAAAAGCTCAAAATTTATTCTCTTTGGAGAGGAAGCAGCAGCATATTTGTTACCACTGACATATAAACCCACAATTTTGATTTACAAATGATTACTCATCAATCATCTCTGCCATTTTTATTTATTTTTTAATCATTTCCTGGACTAGTAATTTGCAAGTAGCTGTTTTGTCAAAAAATTGGGAGATATGGTTTATAATGTGCCTTGAGAAGGCACTAAAGTGAAGAGATGTAATTGGAACTTAAATATCTACTATAAAAATTGCACAGTAGAAATTGTATGGAGCCAACCCTTTGTGTCCGTGCCTTATGGCAGCTCTTCTTCCATTTTCCCCGTAAGAGGTTTCATGATTATCTGTTTATCTACTCATTTATTTACTTCTCTGCTTATCTGGGGTTTAAGAGGAGTAGAATTGACTATTCAGGGGTCCTTTCCTTTCCAAAACCTTTCTGCTTCTGTATTGTTTTTATTCCATTCTGCTTCCGTAACTACCTTGTCCTCGATTCATATCGTTACATTGCATTCAGGCGTAATGAATTTGTTCACCAGGGCTTATAACCTTTGTTTCCTTGCATTTTGCTCCTCTTTTTAGTTACGCTTCTGACAATGTACCAACTTTTTTGCATTTAATTTGAAGGCAGGGCATCATGTACAGGAGGATTGTGGTGAAGAACTTGGAGGAATCATTTCTGGAATCATAAGCAGAAGGAGCAGAATTTGATTTTGTGCTATAATCATCTGTAGTAGTTAATGTTCAAAAAAATTCATGCTATATCTTTGAGGTAAAAAGTCTATTCTTTTGCACCTTATGTTACACTTTCAGCTACGATTCAGGATAGAGAAATGCAGGTGGTGCATCATTCAATCAGGGTATGGATATGCTATCTTTTCAGAGTTAAACGTGCATATTTGCAGTAAGTATCGAATCATTGTTGTTCTCCGTAGCACTCACAAATCTGTGTGTCAAAGTATCCTAGACGCATCTTATTGTCTACAGAAAAATTTAATGATGCTACCTTCTAATTTTCTTCAAGAATACATATTTTTCTTCAATCGCACTCCATTTCTGAAAGAAGTGTTGTTTTCATTGTCTAAAAGAATCAAACGGTACAGTATAGACCACGATTTCAAGCTTTAGTAAAATGGATAGACTGCAGTTCAAGCTTTAATCACTGCTACAGATAGATAGGAACCTGGTAGGCTGGTATTATCTGGTTTCTTTTATATTGCAGAACACAACTTTGTTCTCCCCTCTCACTTAAATGAGTTCAAGATGACAAAATAAAGCACTAGTATTTCATCTGCATCAGTTATTGATACGGATCAGTCCAACATTCATCATCCTTAACAGCCTTCTTCCATCTATTTTTGAACCTCTCTAGCTCAACAAATGACCATTTTTTAACCTGCAAAAGACAGTTTGTGGAATGATGAACAGAGACATGTAGAATTACTTCCAACAAATGATACTATAAAGGACCTCTCTTCGACTTGCTTGGCAAAAAACCATCTGTGATTGTTTTTATTCTGTCAAACCTGTGCCAACTTTTGATGATAATATTGACACAGTTCCGCCAACCACCAGTGGGAAACTGATAGAGAAAAGTTTCTATGCTTAAGGAGTCACTCGGAGCTTACCGAAAGTCTGGCAGCAGATTGATCGGATGATGATTGAGCCTGCAAATTCAATGATCATTAATTCAAATATTGGATTTAAAATGAAAATTCAAACTATTGATTATTGATGGGAAAAACAGCCATACAGATGTGGTTGTTAGTTTGTTTGTCTCTTGTAAAAACCAAAGAGCACATGAATATAGGTTTTTGTGAGATATAGATTTCAGGAGCATATCACCGATGAAGGTAGGATTCATAAATTGTTACAGGCAGAACTGAAAAGGAGTGCCCCTGCCAAGTGCTTTGCTGAGTACTAATTACAGTGCAAATTAACAATGTCTAACCTTTCCTGATGCAGAGCCTCCTAGTGTAGGAAGACCATAATGAACTATGTACTCAGTGTCAACGATCCCAATTCTTTTGGTACGATCACCCTGTTAAAAAATATTGCACTGGTAAGAAATTTGTTATACAACATAGATATATTTTTCCTGTTTTCCAAAGACAGGCATAAGTTTAGAATAGGTTAGTTGCCTGTGCACAGTAACCAAGCTGAAAATCTAAGCCCCACCCATGGACCAAGTCATTCTGACAAAATCAAGAAAGAAAAATTAAGGACACAGTTGATAGATCAATGCAAGAAACTCTATGAAGCATTACAATCATAAGAGACGATAGAGTCTTAGACTATGTAAGATGATTGATAAGTGAAAAAGACTGCATAATCAGTTCAACTTAAAAAGAAACAGCAACCAATCTTTTTAATCTAACTATTTCAGCTCTTATTGTCACCTTCAGCTATTGCCAGTCCATGCCATGTCTAACCACATTCTGGATTTGACATGTTAGAGAAAGGCATTGCTGTTACCTGTTATCTACATCCATCTTCATTGGTTAAATTTCTTTTGTAATAATCATCTAAGGCTTAAGTTTTATAAATATGGCAGACCTGAATCATATGCCATGCGCAGCGCCAGGATGCTTTTGAGAAAACTGGAGCCATCATTTCTACAAATCTGCATAAACAGTACTCTTATTTCTTTTCACAACACATGACAGCTTCAACCTAAAAGAAAAGGTGGAAGAGACAAGCGTGCAAACCAGAAACTACCAAATTTATAAGTATTGAATGCAAAGTTTCTACCCCGTGCATGGAGGACCTTTGCTATTTTCATCACACTTTGTCTGACCGATTATCCTGACTACCTTCCTGTTAGCACAGTATTTAACCTAAAAAACGTTAATGATAAAGAACATTGCTTCAATCAAAACCTAGCTGTCATTGACAGCAAGTCTGATGAGGAACACAAAACTTAATGTCCAAGAAGTTCCATTGTTTGAACAATCCAAAAGCAAAGTTTCTTGAAGAAAAAGTTAAACCTGTGCATTCTTGATCCATGTTTTCTCTCCGTAAGATGATGATGCACCTCTGAACTTTCTGGATCAAGTGCCGGCTGTGATATGTCAAGTCCTTCTTCTTTAATGATCGAAACATATCTGTATTTCAGCGATTGGAGTACGGAAGATTAGTTTATCGGATGAGTACCAACAGTAATATGCCATCTATAAAGTTGTCCACATAAAATCTGTCTTAGATTTTGTTTTAGAACAGTGAGATTTGCAGGCCTTAGTCCAACTCCAAGATTGCAAGGTGTTGAGGTTAATACTTTGTTGTTGCCTCTAGCTTATATTAGTGGCAGAGGAAGAGAGGATTCATTTGGAAACTATAGAGGGAGTAGTTACCAAAGGGACAACTAAAACAAAGGTAATACATATATATATGGAATACCTTCCAGCATCAAAATTGTCAACTCCAAGGTCTTCGTCCCACAAGAAGATATAGTCATACTCCGAAACAATATCTGGATGTAAGAATCGCTTTGCAAACCACCTAACTCATGCATGACAATATTTGTACCATCATTGAGAATTGAATGAACATATATATATCCAGCCAAATGTAGAATTTATCTTAAATATTCTTAAAAGATATAGCTTGTTACCACTTAGTTTGATTAATGGCAGATACATGTATAGCACGATGATACCATTCCATATCTCTCCATTCATCCATGATGCCATCATAATGGAAAAGCATCAGAACAAAATCACGTGATGGAAACTGTAAAATGTCAACAGAGAGACAAATTAGTACTTGTAGACATCAAAGAGGCAAATCAAGACCAAGAATGTAAGCAAGCAGGGTGTAAAAAACCTTCTGGACAATTTTCTTGACGCTCTGTTTTTGCTTTATTCCAACTGCCATGGCCAGCACATATTTTGATTTCTTCGTTTTCTGTGCCGAAGTTTGTAGATGATATACCATGTCAGATCATCTATTTTTATTCAAATCAGAACTTACATGTGTAAGTTTGGTTTATGCATGTGTAGGCTTAACAGCACTAAGTAGCCATGGTTCTGGTGCAGGACAAAATCCTGTCTGTTCGGAAGAAATAGAAACTCTAATTGTAGCTGGTGATATGAGATTATGCACCTTTTTATCATCGCTCCATAACGATCGCATTTCCATGTCAGACATTGGGGACACAATACCTTTAGGTAGTGTCTCAGTTCCTTGAGGCCTCTTTTGAGTCTAAATATACATACAAAGGAAATTAATTATGTAATTGGAGCTAAGCATTGCATAATAGGAAACGGGACTAGAATTTGGATTGACAAACCTGGCAAGTTTTAAGTCTTCTGTCCCATACAACTTCCACTGATGCCCATCCTGAAATCCTCTGCACACAAAAGGTAAAAAAAGCTCTCAGGGGTTCCAGCTTGCAGGATTCAATGACACTAATACATTTACTAGTGAATGTGTTCAATCAAATGTGAGTGACTGAAGTGAATATGTCCATGCGTATGTACCTGTTTATAATCTGTGGCAAAAAATGCACTCCCAACAATAAAACCTGCAGAAAGTAGGAATAATATAGGGAGAACTCGGCGAAGACATGATTTACGGTTTTTAGACTCGACCTTCAAAAATTTCTGGGAGCAAAAAGCAAGGAAGAAAGTAAATATATTCGGACAATCAAATTCAACCGAGTCTTGCATTTTTGGCAGTGTCATTGATAAAGCTATAAAAGAAAGTTACACAACATCTCAAAAAAATACAGCAAAATATACATGCATATACTTAAGGGTATGCAGAGAAAGAGAGAGAGAGGAGGAGGCTTACAGAAGTTGACATGTTTATGTTCATCTTCATGCAATGAGTTTTTGGCCAGAGGGTTTAGTACTGTTTTACATAACAAAAAACGAAAGCAGAAAAACAAGAGTGCAGATTCAGTCAGAGAAGACTTTGTTTTCTTTTAAGTTACTTGGATCTGCAAAAGTTCTATTAGAAAAGCGAACATGGAAATGGATTTTTAGCTTTAAATTACTCTAGTTTATCTTTAAAATATATATGTATCTAACATCCTTTTGCGTAATAATCTTGTCTAAATCACATGGGAAGACCCAAGAAAAATAAAAAAGTGTAAAAGTTTCCTGCTTTAGAAGCAACGACCCTAATGCTTTTTATCAGTTACTGTAAGAAACACACCATTTTTATAAAACTCACATTTTTCTGTCTTCTTGCCCGCTAAAAACAACACCTTATTCCTTTGGAAACCCCCCAAAAGAAGGAAAAAAGAAAGGAAAAGAATTCAGAGTTGTTTACTAGCATAGCAGTCAGGTTGGCATAATTGCATCAGATTCGTGCACCAAGACTCTTTATATGGCCTTCAAATATTAAGAAATCAATTTTTCAGTGTGAGATTTTCTGCTCCCAAAAACAAACGGTTCCCAAGAACAAAATCAACAGCAAACAGGCTTCCAAACTTCAGAGAAGCAGATCAGTTGTGGAAGAAGTTTCTTAGATGCTAATGCTTTTTAGATTGGACAGTAAAGAGTATCCTATAGATAATTGAGACCACTGACAGTAAAAGGGGCGATTTCCAACCAGAAAAGATGCTGCCGAAGCAGACATAATCAGAAATACTTTGTAAGTTACTCAGAATCAAGAACGATAGGTCTTTAGGAAGGTCATTGGGTTCATGAACCCCAGATTCCTTGTATCCTGTAAGCTCAGTACCCTCGTAGTATGCGTTAAGGAGGAAGAGAAGGACGAATGTGTGCATAAATATGCTCGTTTTTATTTCTATCTTGGACTCTTTTATGCTCGTGTTACACTAAAAAAAAAAAAAACTCTAAAAACAAATTAATTAAAGTTAATTATATGGAAAAACTAGAATTCTGAAATTAGATAAAAACCAAAAATCCGAATAAAGAGTATATATGTTCTATCTAGTTGACCAAGAGCTAAATAGACATTTAAGATCAACCTTAAATTTGAGAATAATAAAAATAAGTACAGACAATAAGAAAGAAATAAATTAGAAAGTTATATTTCGAAAACAACAGGAATATCTACCGATTGAATCACAAAAAAGATCTGGAAGTTGACATTAATTTGGAGTGGATTTTGATTTTAAAAGCAGATTCTAATAATGTGGAGGTGAATTTCGCAGTGTCCATGGTTACTTGGAGAAAACGGCATTTGCCTTTGTGATTTTGACAATGTGCATTCAATCAAATGCACAATTTTGAGACATACAGACAGTAACACTAGACTGATAAATGAATGAAAATAACATTAAAAAAAATATATAGTCTAATAGTTTTCTTTAATAAAAACATTCGAGTTTTAATGACGTTTACGAAAATTTGGGTAACACAAGAGGAAAAAAGGTGCTGAAAAAAGATTTTATCTTTTCTCAAAATCCTCGTGTGATCTAAAAAGCAAGCAAGAGCAAAAAGGGTAAAAAGAAATAAATTAAAAAGCAAGGTTTCCATAATAGGCAGAACATGGGCGCTCTGCAGTCTGCACGTACTGGAAGTGGAAAAGAAATGTAGCAACCAGATCAAGCACAAGCTTCAGGTCCTCTCTTTTATTCCTCTCCACATTTCACACTTTCTATTTCATTTTCTTTCTAGAATTCCCTTTGATTTGCCTTGAGATGGGTTTCTTTCTCTCAATTTACTATACCCAAAAACTAGGATCCAATCGTTCTCCGATTTTATGGGAATGCAGGGATAATACAAATGCGTATTCAAAATCATGGGTTGAACCGAAAATAAAATGAAATCTATGAAGCATAATTAATTGGAATTAAATCAGAATCAAGATGTGACACCTTTCTTCAGGAAGTTAATTATAACTTAGTCCCTGTAGTTTAGTAAAACTCTTTAATTAGTCTTTATGGTTTTAGAAACTATTCATTTAGTCCCTTTGTTTTTAAATCCATGATTAACTTAATATTTTTGCCTATTTTATGTTATTTTCTAATTCGATTTAATTTTTTATTCTAAGAAATAGAATAGGGTAAAAAAAAAGTAGATAGAACGGAAAGATTGACGATAAACAAGACATTTTTTGGGATAGAATACAACTAAATTAAGCATGATTGATTTATTTATTATGATAAACTATGGGTAGGGACGAAGTTATAATTAACTCCTTTTAAAGGTTTAATTGGGTTTTCATTCTAGTACTAGTGGGCTGTAGTATGATGTAAATTGGAGAGCTAGAGTAGAAAATGCTGGCTGTTTTATACTGGGACTTGTCTAGTCTCGCTAAGCCAATTTATGAAGATGGCAAGGCACAGATAAACAAGTTATAGTTGCTTGATTGAGTTCTTGTTTGTTTTATCTTGTTTCATTCTTTACGAAATCTACATTTAAAGAATATTTCTTGTTTATCGCAGTGATATTTGAGAATTAGAGTTTTAGGGTGGAGGTGAAAATGAATCCCAAATCAAATCCATTTTCTGCAGCTGGCTCAGGGCTCATTAGAGGGGGATTGGGTGCTTATGGAGAGAAAATTTTTGGGTCAGGCTCTGTGTATGTACAAAGCAATGTAAGTACTTTTATCACTTGTGGATAAATTGCTAGCTAGACAAGTTGGACTAGCAAACAAGAATTGCAAAGCTCAACAGTTCTGTTGACTTTTGCATGTAATGGCCTGAGTATTCTTGTTTTTTGTCAGCTCAAATTACAGTCCATTAGACATCTATAAGGTTAATGGAAGTGATATCAGTACTTGGCAAAAAAAAAAGTGTGCTGGGCATCAACAATTTGATGTGTTTCTTATCATTTTATTGTCAATGAGCAGATAAGCAAGTGCTTCTCTGACCCGCAGTATTACTTCCAAGTGAATGACCATTATGTCAGGAACAAATTGAAGATTGTTCTTCTTCCTTTTCTACATAGGGTAAGTAAAATATTTCTAATTCGCTTAACACAAAGCATTAAGGTTTAGAAAACAAACATCTAAGAATGTGAGTAGTAGGTTAACTTAAAAAACTGTAATGCAGTTCTCTTTTATCTTCTGTCTAGGGCCACTGGACAAGGATAACTGAGCCAGTTGGAGGCAGGCTCTCCTATAAACCTCCAATTAATGACATAAATGCTCCAGATTTGTACATTCCATGCATGGCATTCGCTACCTACTTGGTTCTTGCTGGCATCTCATTGGGCCTTTCTGGGAAGTAAGTGTAGGAATTTTGGTGTAATCAAGCTTCCAGAACAGCTCTCTAAGAACAATATATTCCTGTCTGTACATCATAATCACAATTCCAATTTTATGCCAGGTTTACACCAGAGGCCTTAAATTGGCAGTTTGTTAAAGGAATGATAGGCTGGTTTTCTGAAGTGATGCTGCTGAAAGTTTCAATCCTTTCACTGGGAGGTGGGGAGGCACCTCTTTTGGACATGGTAGCATATGCTGGATACACATTCACAGGGATGTGTGTTGCTTTGCTAGGGAGGATCACCTTGGGCTATGCATACTATTTGATAGTTTTGTGGACATGTCTTTGCATGGGTATATTCTTGGTCAAGACTATGAAGCGAACTCTGTTGTCTGAAGTTAGGAGTTATGACTCAAGCAAGCATCACTATCTCTTGCTCTGCATTGCTTTGACCCAGTTCCCACTGATGTTTTGCCTTAGCAACACTTCAGGGAATTAATTAGCTTTTCTGAAGGTTCTCGTGCAAATATGCACTGGTTCTAGTAGTGTGCTCCTTTTTTTCTCTTTCATCAAATTTTCTGTTGGCCTGCTGTCTCTGAAAAGTAAACAAGTTACCACACTTTTTGGGTGAACCAGATCAAATTCATATTCTTTAACATCCAGTTTCAGGAATAAGTGCACCGAAGATCTTTCTTCTGGTTTTTCTTCGTTATTTTTCTGATCTCTTGTAATGTTTGCGGAATTACACGGTGAATATTTGTTTGTTATTCTTTGAATCAATTATGCGATTATTTTGTTTGATTACCTTTGCTGTGTATATGGTAATTTTTTTCAGCATTTTAGAAGTGTCACCTACTCCTGCAGATTTTGGTCGATGAGCCTCAGCCGCAAGATTCATACTGATTCAATATGCCAACAACGAGTTGGTGCAGTGGTAAGTGAGCTCTTCATAGAACGCTCACCCATGACTTTAAAGATTCCAATTTCATCTTAGTGGCATACCTACGGCTTTACGGATAATCGTAGCTTCGGAAAGACTTTAAGCTTTGGTCCTGAGATAGACAGGGCAAGAGTATTTCCAGATAAAAGAATGGTGTGATCCGAAGGCAATGTTTGTGCTGAAAAGCGTGGAATAACCTCGTTATCTTTTCATTTTTAGCATAAAAAATAAAGGACTGATTCAATATTCAAGTTAAATTCACAAACAAAATTAAAATCATCCAACGGTTCTTCCATTGTGAAAAAATAGTTGGAGAGATACTTAATTGCCTGTGGTAATGGTACAATCTCTCAATTTGGCATTGTCATGATGGTAAATCGTGGCAATTGAAACTTTTCCTTCCACCTAGTCCAAGGGAAGGGAATACCGAAGGAAAAGAGAACCGTGGCCATAGGAGGGGGGTCGTTTTTAGAATTGAAATTTTAGAACACAAAGCAAAGGACCATAGGAATTGTCTCCCTCTGGCTGGCTCACCCAGAAACTGAGAAGACAAAAGGCCTTGTAAGTACCAAGTACCGATGAGTCATTCCAGTTCCACGATATCTCCTGTTGCAGGGTACTCAACTTTCCCGCCAAATTCAAGTGCAAAGCCCAAAAACTCTCCAAATAGGAGACAGTTCATCTCTCTGCTACAAAATTGCAAACACATTAACCAAATCCCACCAATCTAAGCTAAAAGCATAAGGAACCACCATGACCAAGACCCCTTTGTCGTGTTCGAGCTGCTTCGTGTTTGCTCAAATCTAAACTCCATTGGTTACGAGTCCAGGATCTTCTCTAACACTCAAAACCCAAACTTCTATCTTTACACCGCCCTTATTGATGGTTTGGCGTTATCTGGCTATTACGCTGACGGGATTCATTTCTATTATCAAATGATCAACTCATCAATTATACCAGATACCTATGCGATCACTTCGGTTTTAAAAGCTTGTGGGTGCCAGTTGGCTTTGAAAGGAGGTAGAGAGGTGCATTGCCAAGTTTTGAAACTTAGGTTAACTTCAAATAGGTCAATAAGAACGAAACTAATTGAACTTTATGGGAAATGTGGAGCATTTGAAGATGCAAGGCAGGTTTTAAATGAAATGCCTGAAAGAGATGTTGTTGCATTGACGAACATGATAAACTGTTACTTTGATCATAGGTTGGTTCATGAGGCAACAAGTGTGTTTAGTTTGATCAGGATTAAGGATACGGTGTGTTGGACTGCGATGATTGATGGCCTTGTTAGGAATGGAGAGAGCAATAGAGCTCTGGGGGAGTTTAGAAATATGCAAAGGGAGAATTTTCCGACTGTTTCTCCGGTTCATATCCAACCTATCAAACACCTGATCTGTCACTAAATCTCCTAAACATTCACAATAAAAAACTTTGCTATAAATTTCTTCCTTTCCTTATTAGAATCGGGAATAAGAAGAAGAGTTTTTTTCTTTTTTTCATAATAAGGCAGTTTTAAATCTTATTTCTTATAACAGAGTAGTTTTAAACTTATTTCTCATATTAGGATACTTTATGTCAAATAAGCCATTTCATTTTAATAGATTAACATGTCAGATTTAATTTATTTTTGCTAAAAAATTGCGTTATCATCCTAAATTCTGGAGTTGGGGTTCCGGTTCCGGTTGTGAGGTTGAAGCTTGGTGAGGTTGCGGAGGCGAGTAGAGCAGAGGAGGGGCAAAGAAAAATTCTGGAAGCACCGTGGGAGTGTAGGGGTAAGGGTGAGTTTGGTGTGGTGGTGGCAGAGAGAGGGTGGGAAAGATGGGTGGTCTTGCCAGGGTGGGAACCGGTGGTGGGGCTGGATAGAGGAGAAGTGATGGTGGCTTTTCCAGACGCTAGGGTGTTACCATGGAAGGCGAATAGGTGGTATAAAGAGGAGTCTGTTTTGGTGGTTGCTGATAGGGGGAAAAAGGAAGTGAAAGCAGATGACGGGTTTTATTTGGTTACTCTTGACAGCGCTATTGGTGAATTTAAGGTTGAAAGGGGTTCGCCGTTGAAGGAAAGGAATGATGAGGATTGGGAGTGAAATCATAGTGAGTTAGCAACTCCATTTTACTTTTGATTATATGAAGATTAATACCCAGTGTTGTATGATGCTAATAATGCTTAAAACTTGAACATCAGATTTATATGGGCATCAATGCCCTGTTTCAGGTTACTGCTTTCCTTTTTATTGTCAAAACTAGGAAGCTGCCTTAAAACTCTACTGTGTTATTTGTAATGAGGCAACTCATTTTTGTACTATATGTAATATGTAATACATAATGATTAAGATTTCATTCATTATTCTCCTTTAAGATTTCCGCATCTTAATGTTCATATTACATGCTAAAATGATGTTCTGACAATTGAATGTTATAAAACGGCTTTTATCATCCAAATATCATATAGCTTTGCGGTTCATGTTTTCGCAGCTGAGGTCATGCAGAACATCTCTCTTCTGTGTTCTTGAACGCTGCCAATTAGTAAAAAAAGAAAAGTTGGAGATAAGCAGAAATAAAGTTGTGCTCTTGTATACTTACTTTTCGACTGACAGTACAATTTAAGCTGCTCTTGTTGGACATTCTAAAGCTCGAAAAGGAAAAAAAAAATCTATTTAGTTGGCAAAGTTTGATTTTTGTGATGCAAAGTTCTGGCACCGGTATTTGGTTTGAGTTTTCAGCTTATGGCGTCTTTCTGCTCTATCTTTTTTCCCTCTTAGGAGTAGCAAACATATCTCTGATACATACCAAAGAATGGCCATGTGGCTATGCCTGAAAAAATCTTATAGACGCGCAGTTAAAGAATTCCTTGTTCTTGAGAATAATGCTGACATTAGTGTCGCCTTTGATACAGGGTATGGGCTCAGCAATTAACAAGCTAAATGACGTGATAGCGATGATTGCAGAAGTCAGAAGCATTGCAGATTCTTTAGGCTTTTCAGCTTATAGACGCGCCACATCTGAAGAAAAATCTTTGACATTGTAATTGGTACACATACTATGGTTTAGGATTCAACACTAGTTGGTCAACTGAAGCATGAGTGGAATATCGATCAAAAGTTGGAGGGATTAAACAGATGCAACCGTTATAAAATAATGTAGAAATCCAACATCCTTAAGTTAAGGAGCATTCAAGACAGAGATATGATGGCAATCAGAAAGGCAAGTTCAATTGTCTTGTTGACTAGAGAGAATTTGGGTGAAATTCATGCTCACTCTGATAATGCATTTTCACTCACTAGTTTGTTACAGTGTAGTATGCCTTTTATAACAGGCTCAACAGACTTTAGTTAGCTACATTCCTCTATACCTCATGTAAATACCATATGCTATATCTATACATATATAGCTATGGAAATTATAAATGTACCCTTCTTAATACTTCGCTCAAGTTGGTGGTTTATACAAGTCATAAGCCCTCAACTTGGAAAGAAGAAATTGATGTTGTTCTGTCGTCGAGACCTTTAGTAAAAATATCGGCTAGTTGCTCCCCGCTCTAACGAAAATAGTACGAATCAAATGCGCTTGAAGCTTCTCTTGAACAAGATGACAATCGATTTCTATATGCTTCGTTCTCTCATGATAAACCAAATTATAGGCTATATTTAAGGTTGCCTTTTTATCACGAGTGTAGCTCAACAAGCTTCAAGTGAGGGACCCGCAATTGTTGTAGCGAGCCTCGAGCAACCAAACAACCTCACAAGTAGCCGAGGCCATGGCTTTGTATTCACCTTCGAGCAGAGGACCTAGAGATTGTGTGTTGTTTCTTTGTCTTCCGGGAGATGAGAGAGTAACCAAGAAACACACAAAAGCCGGTTAAAGACTTCTTTGTCATGGGACAAGAAGCCCAATCGGAATCAAAACACCTTGAGTTGTATATCACTAGTAGAAAACATCGGTATGCCAAGGCCTGGATAGCCTTTGAGATATTTCGGAACTCTAATGGTTGAATGCATATGAGATTGCTTTGGTTAATGCATGAATGGACTAAGGATCTACACTAAGTAGCATATATCGAGCCTAGTTATAGTCAAACAGAGTAGTTTGTCCACTAGTTGTTAGTATTCGGTAGGGTCGGACGGAGAGGGTCCGTAGCGGTTGTGGTAGTCGAAGATGCTTTATCAAAGTCAACGGTAGTGAGCTTCAAATTTGGCTCTAATGGCTTCTCCACTAGTTTTGAAGCTAGCAAACCCGCATCGTGAAGTAATTCCATAGTATACTTCCTTTGATTCAAGTATATGCCTTCTTTGGAGCGAGCTAACTCAATGCCTAAGAAATATTTCAAGCCGCCCAAATCCTTGATGTAAAAATTCTCATGCAAGAAACTCTTGATTTGTTGAATACCCCTAACATCATTACCTATGATCAATATATCATCTACATAGACTAATAAGATAACAATCGACTAGCGATTACCTTGGTAAGCATGGAATAATCATTCTTCGACCGAGAGTAACCTACTAAAATCATAATAGTAGTAAACTTAGAGTTCCATTGCTCGGAGGCCTGCTTTAAACCGTAAAGAGACTTGAGTAACTTACAAACCAGGCCCTCCCCTAAGTTTGAAGGCCAAAAGGTAAGGTCATAAGACTTTTTCATGAACATCCCCTTGCAAAAATGCATCGGTAACATCCATTTGATAGAGAGGCCAATTCGAAAAGCAATAAATGCAATAATGGTTCTAACAATGATCATTTTAACAATAAGGGAAAAGATTTCATTATAATTAATGCCTTCTGCTTGTGTATATCCCTTAGCTACCAATCTTGCCTTGTATCTCTCAACACTTCCATCTAGTTTAAACTTCACTTTATAAATTTATTTACAACCTATGTGTTTTTTTCCCGATGGTAAAGGAACTAAGTCCCATGTTCTATTCAATTCAAGAGCTTAGAGCTCCTTAGTCATAGCATCTACCCACTTAGAATCCTTAATGACTTCGGAATAAGTACTAGGTTCTCTAATAGAAGACATAGATGTAAGAAAGGCAAAGTATGTAGGGGAAAAGGAATGGAAATATAGGAAATGGTTGATTAGAAATGAGACGAGTAGGAAGAGTGGCGACGAGCATAAGACTAAGGTAGTGTTGGACAAGAAAAATCGTTATTCCAAATAGGTTATTTGGAAATTCTATGAGATTTACAAGGAGGAATGATATCGGACAAAGGTGTAGATGAGACGGTAAGGTTGTTGGAAACGAGTAAAATTATGTGGAGAACTAGAACTGGAAGGTAAAGATAAGGGACAAGATGATTGATCATCATCATAAGTCCATTGAGAGATAGAAGAATTATGAACTAGAGATAATGAACTAGAGCCGAGATCAATGGGAATGAAAAAGGGATGAAAAGAGAATATAGATTCATGAAACAAAATATCACGAGATACAAATACCTTCGAGTATCTAGATCTAGAACTTTATAACCCTTTTGCATGTATTGATAGCCTAAAAAAATACAAAGTTTGGATCTAGGAGAAAACTTGTCGGGACAAGGTAAAACTTTGGCATAACAAAGACACCCAAACACTTTAAAATGACGAAGAATTAGAGGTTCATTGAATAATATCTCAAATGGTGTTTTTCCATTTAGTAATGAAGTAAGAGTCCTATTAATGAGGTATGTGGAAGTGAGAACGCAATCTCCCCAAAATTTGATAAGAACATTTGATTGAAACATAAGAGCCCTAATAATGTTAAGAATGTGTCTATGTTTTCTTTCGACAATCCTATTTTTTTGTGGTATGGTTGTTTCATGAAGGATACCTTTAGAAGAAAAAAAGGCTTGACGAGTCATTTTGAAGGAATTTAGAGCCTCTATCAATTCCGATACGTTTAATATGATGATGAAATTATGTGTGAATAAGAGTATAGAAGTTTTGTAGTAAAGAGAGTGCTTGAGACTTAGTTTTCATAAGGAATGTCCAAGTCTCTCTAGAAAAATCCTCAACAATGGACAAAAAATATTTATCTTGATTATATGTAGGATGCTTGTATGGTCCCCAAATATCAACATGAATGAGCTCAAACATAGAGTGTGTGATGGATGTACTACATGGAAATGTCGGTCTTGTTTATTTTGCAAGAGGAAAAAAATCACATAATAACTCGGAATATGAAGAAGGTAATGATAAACCAGGAATCAAATACAATCTAGAAAGTGATATATGTCCAAGACGTTTATGCGAAAGTATTATATCATTTTATTGACAAGCTATATTATGTTTAGCTTTATTACAAAGAAGGTTACAAAGTCCGTAAGAAACCGAACTTGGAATAGCAACGAAGCGGGGGTTGAAAAACATTTGAAGTTGAAGGTGTGACAAACTTGAATGTGTTTGATTGGACATAGTATAGACCATCTCTAATATTACCAATCCCCGTTGTCTTCCCACTCTTAAGGTCCTAAAATAGACAAAATTATGGATAAAAAGATGCCATACGGTTATTGTCGGTGATGAATTTAGCTATTGACAATAAATTAAAATTGAAGTCAAGTAAGTATAGGACATCCCGGAGGTGTACGGAAGCAAGAGATATTGAACCTGTGTGAGTGACTTGTATTCTATTGCCATTAGGTAATCTAACATAGTAATGGGATGCTAATTTCTTAATATTATCCAAGCAATCAAAATGTCTAATCATGTGAACATTAGCTCCGAGTATCTACCACCCATTCATCATTATGAGAAACAATATCCACAAGGCTACAAAAGAACTCATCGGCCATGTTTGTAGCGAGAATCAACTCCCGAAGTCGTCTTTCATGAGTTAGCCTTTCCGGATAATAGATTCGATATCTGCTTGGTATTGTTGTTGAGAAAATATAGGAAGTGAAAAAGGCTTGCTTACACCGATCCTCCGATTCCGCTTCCGTATTATCAATCATTTTTGCGTCTCGTTTTGATATGCCATTATCGTGTCCTTCAACACTCGCATTGTGTGCATGATAAGCTCGTTGTCTATCTCTTTCAAAAGTAGTATTTGCATCTCTTCTTCCTCCGAAACTCCCAAAAAACTTCTTGGTTGGATGTGGATACCCATGGA